AGCATGACAATGATCCCAAACACACTGCCCGGGCAACGAAGGAGTGGCTTCGTAAGAAGCATTTCAAGGTCCTGGAGTGGCCTAGCCAGTCTCCAGATCTCAACCCCATAGAAAATCTTTGGAGGGAGTTGAAAGTCCGTGTTGCCCAGCGACAGCCCCAAAACATCACTGCTCTAGAGGAGATCTGCATGGAGGAATGGGCCAAAATACCAGCAACAGTGTGTGAAAACCTTGTGAAGACTTACAGAAAACGTTTGACCTGTGTCATTGCCAACAAAGGGTATTCTATATTTGGCCCTATATGTAAAATTATACAATTGTATAACATTGGGGTCCTTGAAAAAGTCCCTGAAAGTGCTTGAAATTGACTAGCTAGCTAGCTATCATCATAAGGGTTAGACTTCAGGCTTAGCCTACATTAATTCTTGCAATCAACGGCCAGTAGCCTTACTATTTTTAAGAATCATAGCTATCACAGATAAAAATACATAATATATCTACATATCTAGCTATGTAGTTAGCTAGCTAGCTAATAATTACTGTAGCTAGCTAACTAGCTATATGGGAATCATACATTTTACTGGTAAAATAACAATTCTGCAGCAGCCATCTTCTGCCTGGCTGGCTAGCTAGCTTCATTTCTAATCACTAGCCAGTTCATTTTAGCTAGGTCTAGCTCATACCTAATGACAAATGTCCTTCAAATTGTCAATATGAGTATTTTATTTTGTAGCTACAGTTATCAATGAAAACATGTACATAAAAAAAGAGAAGACACGACAAGAGCTAAATCAAGTAGCTAGGCTTGTATTGGCTCATTGTCTACTCGGCTTATCAAAATGTAATTTCACAGACTCATCTTATCAATCGCAAAAAGTACTCTAAAATGTACATATTATAATTACCAACAAAAAAACTAATTGTATACAGTTTCTTACCTTAATATTGGTGTCTTGATCTCAATGACAGAGCTGTCAAAGTTGAGAAACCTTTCAGGTCCAGTAGAGGTGAGGCGCCTCCCAGTGGCAGCATTCACTTTCAGTCTCTACACCAAAATCCTGATGCGGTAAAAATCGGAGTATAATGCTTGTATGGATGTCAACCCCAATATATGTTCATGCCATCGTCACCAATCAGCTACATTGCAGTTAAAAACGACTGACTACCACCACCGATTTCTGTGTGCTAGCTATGCTACCAGCTTATAAGAACGGGAGTTAGCATTTAGCAGTCACTTCTTCTAAACCTGAAAGGAAACAACTTCTAATTGTTATGCAGCGAAAACAGCCAAATATATCCAAATCGGACTTTAGTAACCACATTGTAGGCCTGTTATAATACATCAATCATGACGGATTTGACGAATATCCACTTTGTTAGATCAGATTTGTTGAATCTGCGGCAATACGGCGTCCTTCTTCTATCCCCCACGGTCTGTGTTCCATTGACCTCTCCTACCAATGACGCATTTTCATCAGTGGCGCTACCCATACCTCTAATAAACGTTGTTCAAGATCAAAATACTAAAAACAGAGATGTTTCTGTTACAAGCACATGCTTAGTATTAGTGGATTGAATACATCTCTTTGCTCAGCTTTACTTCCGGAATAATTTCCATTACCCTTTAATTTAAAGCGGCAATCAGCAGTTGAAACAATAACAAAGCTGTTTCAGTTAAAAGCTGAGGGATGGGGCTGGAGAAATGTAACCACTCTCAAATTCATAGACAGAGCTATGGATGCAAGGACTGACCATCCATGATATCAAAATCTTAGTTCTAACCATGTTTTGAGGCTATAGTGTTTTTTTACATTTACATTGTTTACAAACAAAGGAGTAAAACAAGTTTATATTTTGGGTTCTGATGGGGTACAACAGTTGATCAAAGCTCATGAGACATTTATAAGTTATATTCTTCAAGAATCAATGGGCACATATCATTAATTTATAAATCCAAAAATAGATGTTCAACTGCAGATTTCCCCTTTAAGCAAACGGCCTGTCCGACCCTGTAGTGCAGCTGTCAAAAAGCATAAGGTGTCAGACTTGCTGGCTACTAGCTAGCTTGAGTTGGCTAGCTAGTGACTAACGTGAATAGAAGCTAGCTAGTAGCGTCACGTCGTATCTTCAGACGAAACCCAAAGGAAACTCTAGAAATGCTGGTATCTAGAGTCGCTATCTGGTCTCTTCACTCGATGATCAACTCTTCTTAGCCACTCACACAGTTTATATGCTACATACACTCGTTATTTACAGTCCAGCAAACGGTCACAGCTGTCCGCCATTAACCGGGGAACTTTGCACACTCTTGGAATTCTCTCAACCAGCTTCACCTGGAATGCTTTTCCAACAGTCTTGAAGGAGTTCCCACATATGCTGAGCACTTGTTGGCTGCTTTTCCTTCACTCTGCGGTCCGACTCATCCCAAACCATCTCAATTTGGTTGAGGTCAGGGGATTGTGGAGGCCAGGTCATCTGATGCAGCACTCCATCACTCTCCTTCTTGGTCAAATTGCCCTTACACAGCCTGGAGGTGTGTTGGGTCATTGTCCTGTTGAAAAATAAATGGTTGTCCCACTAAGCCCAAACCAGATGGGATGGCGTATCGCTGCAGAATGCTGTGGTAGCAATGCTGGTTAAGTGTGCCTTGAATTCTAAATAGATTACAGACAGTGTCACCAGCAAAGCACCCCCGCACCATAACACCTCCTCCTCCATGCTTTACGGTGGGAAATACACATGTGGAGATCATCCATTCACCCACACAGCGTCTCTCAAAGACACGGCGGTTGGAACCAAAAATCTCCAATTTGGACTCCAGACCAAAGGACACATTTCCACCGGTCTAATGTTCATTGCTCGTGTTTCTTGGCCCAAACAAGTCTCTTCTTCTTATTAGTGTCCTTTAGTCGTGGTTTCTTTGCAGTAATTCGACCATGTAGGCCTGATTCACACAGTCTCCTCTGAACAGTTGATGTTGAGATGTGTCTGTTACTTGAACTCTGTGAAGCATTTATTTGGGCTGCAATTTCTGAGGCTGGTAACTCTAATGAACTTATCCTCTGCAGCAGAGGTAACTCTGGGACTTCCATTCCTGTGGCGGTCTTCATGAGAGCCAGTTTCATTATAGCGCTTGATGGTTTTTGCGACTGCACTTGAAGAAACTTTCAAAGTTCTTGAAATGTTCCGTACTGACTGACCTTCATGTCTTAAAGTAATGATGGACTGTTGTTTCTCTTTGCTTATTTGAGCCATTCTTGCCATAATATGGACTTGGTCTTTTACCAAATAGGGCTATTTACTGTATACCCCCCCTACCTTGTCACAACACAACTGATTGGCTCAAACGCATTAAGAAGGAAAGAAATTCCACAAATTAACTTTTAAGAAGGCACACCTGTTAATTGAAATGCATTCCAGGTGACTACCTCATGAAGCTGGTTAAGAGAATGCCAAGAGTGTGCAAAGCTGTCATCAAGGCAAAGGGTGGCTATTTGAAGAATCTCAAATCTGAAATATATTTTGATTTGTTTAACACCTTTTTGGTTACTACGTGATTCCATATGTGTTATTTCATAGTTGTGATGTCTTCACTATTATTCTACAATGTAGAACATAGTAAAAAATAAAGAAAAACCCTTGAATGAGTAGGTGTTCTTAAACTTTTGACCAGGAGTGTATGTTTGCTTGGTTATCATGGCAACTACTGTAGCTATCTAGTGTAAACTTGCTAGCTACTTCAGTGGATGTTGAACAAATTTCTACCGGCAAATGAACACATTTCTAGCGGCAAATGTGTTAAATTATAGCCATGGTATAAAAGGGATAATCAACTCGGGGCTCTATGTGTTTTCTGGAACACACCTTCCATGTCGTTCATTATTTTCCATAGAACGCATAGCCCCTCGTTGATTATCCTTTACATAATGCACGCTCTAGAATGCCCTTCAAGCCAATCAGAAACGACTATTCCACTGTAGCCACTGGTTGGCCATATTGGCACTCCCCAGAAGAAGCAGTCCTCCATAGCAATGACTGGAATTCTACAGTATTTCAATTAAATGTTTCAAGGACAAAATTACATGTATTTAAGTTTTTTTTTTTGTAGTGTGGACAGTAACATTAGAACTTTCTAAAAATTCTACACTAATGATTTTAAAAAATATATATGTTTTAGTTTTTATGTTTAGCTCACATAATATAATTTAAAAGTATGCATTAAGGAATAAACGTGGCAAAAACAAATGTAGACATTTTATAAATGCATTTCTATAGCTTCCAAAATATTTTTTTACAATGGTGGGGGAGTGCCAAGCCAAGATGGAGGAGCTGTGGATTCAAAACAGCACCCCCTGTCAGTCAACAGGTGAATATATACATAATTGGTTGTGACTCCATGTGGTCAATAACTGTAATGAGTATGTGTGTAATCATGGAATGGTTTTGACTCTGTGCTATGTCTTTTAGTAATGTTTTTGTGGTGAAAGTAGGCCTACATCCTTTTTATTTTCTAGTAATTATGTAAATCAATAAATTAACAGTCTGGTTAAGTATGATTTATGGCAATGCAATGAAAATAATTATGTAATTTAATAACTGAATTTGTATTAATTTTATTTAATCAAATAGCATTTTTTGAATGATAATAAAGTGAAGAAGTGGAGGAAAAGCAGAACTGTCTCAGGATTATTTTCGTTTAAATTCTTAAAATTGCAAAGGATCACACCGGAGTTAGTATGACCTGATTTTATATTTTTTAAAATAAATACAAAAGTTTTCAATTTTAGTTTTTGTAGACCCGTTTATGTAGTGTTTTATGTAGTGTTTTAAATCACGAAACTGTTTAAACGCGTGCTTGTACGATTATTCTAGGTAAAAGGATGGTAAAACATATTTGTTTACATTTATTTGTTGGAGTGCAGTTGGAGCACACCCGCTGGTGAAGTGGTACACTCCCCCTGGTCTCAGATTAAAGACTTTTGCTCTCCGCATTTATTATTGTGCGCACTCAGCGGACCAAAGAATGAGGCGAACAATGGGCAGGACGAAAATGTGGATTAATTCTATCTGAATGCGAAACGTTTTTTTTCCGAAAAATGAACTTGCTGTTAGGTCGATGGATTATTTTGTCCATAACAGGTAAATGTTTTTTTCTTTACTCATTCAGCATGTTGTTTTGTCATTTGTCTGCGAAAGCCTTGGATGCAGCCAGCAACAGTTTGATCCCTTCACTTTATTCCAGGAACTAACGGGTCTACCTTTACAGTAGGCTATGACCTCAACTGTCAACATGACTTTTGGATTCCCTTTATTTTTATTTATATAAACATACTTTTGTCTGCCCACTTGTTTTGGGGGATTCATCTGATTTGCTTTAGTGTTGAATCTGTGCAGTGATAATAGGCCTTAGCTGGCCTACTCTTGTTTTTCTCTATTGTATTTTGTCATAAATTACAGGAGGAATGTGTGGAATGAGGACGCTAGTGAAAACCCGGTTATTCTTAATATATTTTGTAATTGTGTATATTGTGTGTTTGTATTTATGCAGGGCTTATCTGTAAAATATACCATAGTCTCAGTATGACTTCCCTGTCAAAATAAAGGTTAAATAAAAAATAGAAATAGGTCCCGTTATTCAGACAAGATCCATGTTATGCCTGCACCCCAATGACCCACATACACATTTACTAGGCAGAGATACATAGGTCCTCTATTATAACACACTTAGAACTTTCATTCTGAGAGCCCAATTTCCCACCTTTAATTTGGTAAATGAATAGTAATTTAACCATTATTTAATTTAGTATTTTGGAGAGGTATTTCTGTAGACCTATACAAGAACAAAAAACAGCCCTCTAGGGAGTCAAGTCATTGTGTTGGAATGCCTGGCAGGAAAACGTGTCAGTTGTTTGGAATGAAAGGGCCTGATGTGGTCAGGAAGCATGGAGTGACTCAGAGCTTTGACCAAGAAGAGCCTAGTAGACTGGTTAAACTATAACTTGAATGGTAAACCTCAGTTTGTGTTGTCTACTCTTCAAGAAAAGAGAACACTATTTGATGGAGTAAAAAGAGAACACTATTTGATGGTGTACCACTGAGTTACAGTTCATATAAGGAAATTAGTCAATTTAAATAAATTCATTAGGCCCTAATCTATGGATTTCACTTGACTTGGAACACAGATATGCATCTGTTGGTCACAGATACCTTAAAAAAAAAAGTAGGGGCGTGGATCAGAAAACCAGTCAGTATCTGGTGTGACCACCATTTGCCTCATGCAGCGCGACACATCTCCTTCATATATAGTTGATCAGGCTGTTGATTGTAGCCTGTGGAATGTTGTCCCACTCCTCTTCAATGACTGTGTGAAGTTGCTGGATATTGGCGGGAACTGGAACACGCTGTCGTACACGTCAATCCATAGCATCCCAAACATGCTAAATGGGTGACATGTCCGGTGAGTATGCAGGTCATGGAAGAACTGGGACAGTTTCAGCTTCCAAGAATTGTGTACAGATCCTTGTGACATGGGGCTGTGTATTATCATGCTGAAACATGAGGTGATGGCAGCGGATGAATAGCACGACAATGGGCCTCACGATCTCGTCACGGTATCTCTGTGCATTCAAATTGCTATCGATAAAATGCAATTGTGTTTGTTGTCCGTAGCTTATGCCTGCCCATACCATAACCCCACCACCACCATGGGGCACTCTGTTCACAATGTTGACATCAGCAAACCGCTTACCCACATGAAGCCATACATGCTGTCTGCCATCTGCCCGGTACAGTTGAAACCGGGATTCATCCGTGAAGAGCACACTTCTCCAGCGTGCCAGTGGCCATCGAAGGTGAACATTTGCCCACTGAAGTCTGTTACGACGCCTGAACTGCAGTCAGGTCAAGACCCTGGTGAGGATGACGAGCACGCAGATGAGGTTCCCTGAGATGGTTTTTGACAGTTTGTGCAGAAATTCTTCGGTTGTGCAAACCCACAATTTCATCAGCTGTCCGGGTGGCTGGTCGCAGACGATCTCACAGGTGAAGAAGCCGGATGTGGAGGTCCTGGGCTGGCGTGTTTACACGTGGTCTGCGGTTGTGAGGCCGGTTGGACGTACTGGCCAAGTTCTCTAAAACGACTTGGAGGCAGTTTATTGTAGAGAAATGAACATTCAATTCTCTGGCAACAGCTCTGGTGGACATTCCTGCAGTCAGCATGCTAAATGTACGCTCCCTCAAAACTTGAGACATCTGTGGCATTGTGTTGTGTGACAAAACTGCACATTTTAGAGTGGCCTTTTATTGTCCCCAGCACAAGGTGCACCTGTGTAATGATCATGCCGTTTAATCAGCTTCTTGATATACCACACCTGTCAGGTGGATGGATTATCTTGGCAAAGGAGAAATGCTCATTAACAGGGATGTAAACAAAGTTGTGCACAACATTTGAGAGAAATAAGCTTTTTGTGCATATGGAACATTTCTGGGGTCTTTTATTTCAGCTCATGAAACATGGGACCAACACTTTACATATTGCGTTTATATTTTTGTTCAGTGTAGTTGCAAGTGTTTTTGGTATTCTGTTGTTGTGAAAATGGATTAGGAAATGTATATTTTGTGAGTTGAATCAGGATCATAGGTATAAATGTGTCATTATTTTTATGTCACACTTGTGGGTATTTTTAGAGGTTTATAAAGATGTGTTTTGGAGTGCCTGGTTACATGCATGGACAGTTTTTGTGTTGTTCTCCACTAGAGATCAAAGGTCCCAGAATAGTTTTCTTGGTGGTACGTGAATCCTGAGGTTACCAAGGTGTCCCACCCTGTCCATTCTCTCTGTCCCTCTCTTTCTCCCTCGCTAGAATGTAAGAAACTCTTCTTCAAATCTCTAACCACTAATTGGCTGTTTACACCCGACTGGGCCAGATGATATAATCTCATTGGTTGGAGTCCTCCCATCCCCCTCCTCCATTCTGTTGTCCACATACATTGCCTTCATAAAGTATTCATACCCCTTGACTTATTCCACATTTTGTTGTATTACAGCCTGAATTCAAAATGGATTAAATATGGGTTTTTTCTCACACATCTACGCAAAATACCCCATAATGACAAGGTGAAAACATGTTTTTTGAAAATTTCGCAAATGTATTGAAAATGAAAAACAGAAATATCTAATTTACATAAGTATTCACACCCCTTTGCTATGACACTCCAAATTGAGCTCAGGTGCATCTAATTTCTACAACTTGATTGGAGTCCACCTGTAGCCAATTCAATTGTTTGGACATGATTTAGAAAGAAACACACCTGTCTATACTGTATAAGGTCCCACAGTTGACAATGCAGAATGTCAGATCAGAAACTATACCATAAAGTCCAAGGAACTGTCCGTAGATCTCCGAGATAGAATTGTGATGAGTATAAAACTATTTCTAGAGTGTTGAAAGTTTTTCCAAGAGCACAGTCTCCATCATTGGGAAATAGAAAAAATATGGAACTACCCAGACTCTGCCTAGAGCTGGCCGTCCGACCAAACTGAGCAACCGGGCAAGAAGATCCTTGGTCAGGTAGGTGACCAAGAACCCAATGGCCACTCTGACAGAACTACAGGGTTTATTGGCTGAGATAGGAGAACCTGCCAGAAGGACAACATTCTCTATAGCACTTCACCAATCTGGGCTTTATGGGAGAGTGGCAAGACTGAAGCCATTCCTGAGAAAAAGGCACATGATAGCACGCCTGGAGTTTGCAAAAAGGCACGTGAAAGACAGATCATAAGGCAAAAGATTCTGTGGTCTGATGAGACAAAAATGTAACTCTTTGGCCTGAATGCAAAGCGCTATGTCTGGAGAAAACCAGACACAGCTCCTCACCCGTCTAACACCATCCCTACTGTGAAGCATGGTGGTGGCAGCATCATGCTATGGTGATGCTTTTCAGCGGCAGGGACTGGGAGACTGGATGGAGGAAACAATAAATGGAGCCAAATACAGGCAAATCCTTGGTGAGAACCTGTTTCGGAGTGCAAACGACCTTGGACCAGGGCAAAGATTTACATTCAACAGGACAATGACCCCAAACATACAGCCAAAACAAAGCTGAAATGGCTTCAGAACAAGAATGTGAAAGTCCTTGAGTGGCCCAGCCAAAGCCCAGACTTGAAACCCATTGAAAATCTGTGGAAAGACTTGAAGATTGCTGTTCACGTCGCTCAAAATCTAACTTAACAGAGCTTGAGAAAATCTGCAAGGAAGAATGGAAGAAAATCCCCAAATCCAGATGTGCAAAGCTGATACAGTAATACCCAAGATGACTCAAAGCTGTAATCGCCGCCAATGGTGCTTCTACAAAGTGTTGACTCAGGGGTGTGAATACTTATGTAAATAAATGTTTTCTGTATTTCATTTTCAATAAATTTGCCCAAAATTCTAAAAACATGTTTTCACTTTGTCATTATAGGGTTTTGTGTGTAGATGGGTCATTTGTTTTGCACTGTCCAGAGGTAACTGACATCTACCTCTGACTCAGTAGGAGGAGTTGGTGAACTGTTGGTGCAGGGTCAGATATTTATTTAGCCTGATCCTAGATCTGTAGTTAGCGGCAATGTCTAACTGGAGCTCTGTAGGTTATTTGAAGGCCATCATCATGAATCACCCTGGCTCCTCTTCAGTACAAAGTGTGAATCTCAATCTGTGTAAAACTGCTTCCCCTCCTTGTCACATTCCCTTCATCTGCACTAAACTGAAAACTTGGGAAAGTGCTGCTAAGGAGAGGGCCGCTCTGTAGAACCGTTTGCTGTGATTTCCTCTTTTCTGGGAAATGTTTGGAGTGAGTTCCTGCTGCCTGCCCCACCCAGACCTAACAAGACTGGCTACAGAGGATACTGCTCTGGCCACGACCCCCTCACTGTTCCCCTTTATTATGACAAACCCCTACCTCCCTACTACAGTCCTGTCCCTGCCCCCCACACCCGGCGGAATGTAACCTCTGTGACCTCCCGTGTACTGGAGAGAGGAGCCCCCATCCCATCTCTGTCTCTCTCTCCCCCTTTAGATATTATGCAAGTCACCTCTTGGCAATCTCCCAGTTGGGGATTGAGTTGGAGTCATCATTACGCATACACACACACACACACACGGTTCTCAGTGGAACCAGACCAGATGTTTTTTGGCATTGGTGAAATCAGGTCATCACTTCCACAACAGAGACAGACCCTCTCCTGAGTTTTGTGGTTTAATTAACTGAGAGGGTATGTCTGGAATCCACCTTAACCTGTTGGATGTGTAGGGGGTATGTAAGGGTGAGTTGGACTGAAATACTTTCGGTTTCTACTGTGGGCTCTACTATGGGTAGAGGCTATGTGTTTGGTTCAAGTGGTGATGGACTGGGTGCTTCTCAAAGCTGGTGTTGGAGAGCGTTCAACTGTAAAGTCTAATCTCCTTACCATTTGTATGTTTCTCTGGCTATTCAAAAGATGCACTACATGGCCAAAAGTATGTGGACACCCCTTCAAATTAGTGGATTCGGCTATTTCGGCCACACCCGTTGCTGACAGGTGTAGAAACTCAAGCACACAGCCATGCAATCTCCAAAGACAAACATTGGCAGTAGAATGGCATTACTGCTGAGCTCAGTGACTTTCAACGTGGCACCGTCATAGGATGCCACCTTTCCAACAAGTCAGTTCGTCAAATTTCTGCCCTACTAGAGCTGCCCCGGTCAACTGTAAGTACTGTTATTGTGAAGTGGAAACATCTCGGAGCAACAACGGCTCAGCTGCGAAGTGGTAGGCCACACAAGCTCACAGAACGGGACCGCTGAGTGCTGAAGAGCGTAAAAATAATCTGTACTCGGTTGCAACACTCACTACTGAGTTCCAAACTGCCTCTGGAAGCAACGTCAGCACAATAACTATTTGTCGGTAGCTTCATGAAATGGGTTTCCGTGGCCGAGCAGCCGCACACAAGCCTAAGATCACCATGCGCAATGCCAAGCGTCGGCTGGAGTGGTGTAAAGCTCACCGCCATTGGACTCTGGAGCAGTGGAAACACGTTCTCTGGAGTGATGAATCACGCTTCACCATCTGGCAGTCAGACGGAGTAATATGGGTTTGGCGGATGCCAGGAGAACACTACCTGCCCCAATGCATAGTGCCAACTGTGAAGTTTGGTAGAGGAGGAACAATGGTCTGGGGTTGTTTTTCATTGTTCGGGCTAGGCCCCTTAGTTCCAGTGAAGGGAAATCTTAACACTACAGCATACAATGACATTCTAGACGATTCTGTGCTTCCAACTTTGTGGCAACCGTTTGGGGAAGGCCCATTACTGTTTCAGCATGATAATGACCCCGTGCACAAAGAGAGGCCCATACAGAAGAAATGGTTTGTCGAGATCGGTGTGGAAGAACTTGACTGGCCTGCACAGAGCCCTGACCTCAACCCCATCAATTACCTTTGGGATGAATTGGAACGCCGACTGTGAGCAAGGCCTAATCGCCCAACATCAGTGCCCGACCTCACTAATGCTTTTGTGCCTGAATGGAAGGCTGTTATAGCAGTAGAGGGGGGACCAACTCCATATAAATGGCCATGATTTTAGAATGAGATGTTCGATGAGCAGGTGTACACATACTTTTGGTCATGTAGTGTACGTTAAAGGCCTTATATGCAGACTGCCGTTAGATATTTAAAATGTGATGCCTACTTCTCCAGTCATTGGACTGTGTTAACTTTATATCGGCATAATATAACATAAATATATTGTTTTGATTATTGTATTATTAAATTACCTCTTCCCCTCTATTTTCTCCCTAATTTTCTCACACCCTGTCTGTCTGTGTGTGTATCAGTCTGTGTGTGTGCGGGGGTGCAGGTGAGCGTTCGGGAGAAGAGGCGTTTCGCCATGCTCTTCCAGTCGGTGGTGCTCGAGTGCCAGTACCACACGCCTTCCTCCCAGACCCCTGTGGTGCAATGGTGGTACAAATCCTACTGCCGCGACCGCACACGAGACTCCTTCACCTTCCCCGAGAGCCTGAGGGTCCAGGGGTCCGAGTTGGGCACCGCGGCCCACCTGGAGTGCTCCGACAGCAGCCGCACCGTCCGCATCGTAGCCTCCAGCCAAGGACCCTCCATGACGCTGGCTGAGCACTACAAGGGCCGAGACATCGCCATCGTCAACAGTACTGTGAAGATTTGTTAAGGAGTAGATTTGTGTTGTGATTGGAAGTTGTGTGTGTGTGTGGCGGTGTTTGTAGTTTTAAGAGCTTCTATGACTAGAAGGCTGTGCTTGTGGAAATGTTGTCAGGGAAGACATACGACATGTCCACACACACGCTTCAATGCTGTTTACTTCAGTGTTATAGGCGGTGGCCTTGTCCGTCATAGCCTGTCTATTATCCCAGTCTCTCGACTGTTAATGATCCATCTCCCAACAGGAAACATGGCTGCTTGTGCTCTGCTTCTCCTGTTCCTGAAATAGTCCTTCTCTGTCTCTGCTTCACAATAGACCAGGCCATACACTCACACTCACACACACATTAACGACACTGCCCCCTGTTCACAATGGAGTGGTCTCTTCACACACTGCCCTCTCTTATCCTATTTACAATAAACCATTGAGCTTCTTATCCAAATGAAATACCCACCTTTTTTCTGCCTTTCAATAGAGAGCACCCACATACTTTTGTGTCTCTTTTAACAAAACACCCTCCTGTTGTCATAAATCTTAATAGGAAGCTGTAGGATGTATGAATGTGTCAAATGTCAATGTAATGTATCTTTGAGGTTTGTTCAGTATATTGTTTGACTAACGCCGGGTGTACACTACACGACTTACAAAATCTTAACTTCACTGAGCCTCTCACATTAAACGACCGTCTTTCCTGTAGTTTTGTAGGTTTGGCACAGACAGGGTGTCACACACTACAAGATTCTTCACTTGGTCGTGAGGATTCTCAATACCACCACGCTGTCTCGCGAAAACAATGATGTGATGATGTGATTAGATTGTTAACGTAGCTACAGTAGAACGAGCTGTGGTTCAAACCAGCCTCAAACATTTTCAGTCAGACATTTACGCTTGCCATACAGAGTTGAAATATCTAGCCAACATTTTGAATTAAGTAACATTGCCTGTGAACTTTAGAGGTGTAACGATTTGACACTTTGGTTAAAGGCAAGTACCAACACACATTCTGTGTGATGCGAAACAACGTCATCATCTCACTGGCTTCTTCTCTGCCGAGCTCTCTTTGTCTATCGCTGATCACCTTCCTTAAAAGTTGTCATTGTACATCTTACACTACAAGAGCATTGTAGATTTTGTGCTGGTGAAATCAAACATGTTTGAAAATATCGGGACGTCTGGGACTGCTCAAAGACGGGATCGGTAGCCCTCAGATTGCGTCTCTGACCCGCTCACATTAAACGAGCACCAGTGACGGCCGCACGCCCCGAGTAGGCAACGACATGGGGATTTTGTCTCCGACCTCAAAAACTTGTTTGGGACAGCTAAATCGGGGCCAAAATCGTGTAGTGTACACCTGGCTTAACAGTATATAATTTTGTTACAGTATGCAGTTGTCGATTATTTGTTAAATGGGTTTCATATGTATCGTTTTTCAGAGCTTTTATAGGTTTATAGTTTTTTCATAGGAGATACTGACCATGCTCTCATATCATTTGACCTCTCACCTATGACCCTTGTCCTGACCTCTGACCCTGTGTCCTGTCCCTGTCCAGAGGCGGACCTGCGGATCGGGAAGCTGCAGTGGGGTGACAGCGGTGTGTACTTCTGTAAGATAGTCATCGCTGACGACCTGGAGGGGAAGAACGAGGGACAGATGGAGGTACTGGTGCTGGGTGAGTGACCACAGGAAGTGAACCCTACACACACAGGAAGTAAACATTAAACACAGGAATTCAACCACCTCAACATCAAAGAGGAAGGGATAGAACGGAAATTAACAGAAATCTGAACATTCTGCTGGGGCTTTCTTATTTCGAGGTCCTCTCTGGTTTGAAAGGATTTGGGAATTGAGGAAGTAGGAAACAAGTATACTCATATGTATTGTCTTGTGTCTCACTTTCTGAACCTTACCACAGCAGTAAAACCAATGCGCACACTAAAACCAATGGATTTGTGCCATTGCACCAGTCTCATATGCTGACTGTGGTGTGTGTGTTCACGTGTGTGTGTGTGTCGGTGTGTAGGGTAAGTGTATTTGTTTGTTTGATATGGTTCATAATGGAGTGCTTAAATATAAACATCCTTGCTCTAGAGGGCATCTGCCTTCCAAAGTGCACTTACAAGTGCTGCCATGACGACAGGCAGAATGGCGTGCGCTGCTCTACACACGGTTCTGATCCTCTCTGAGAGGACCCATTGTTTGGCAGAGCTTACCCTTGTAGAACAGCTGACATAACCCTGACATAGCCATACATAAACCCTTATAACCTCAGATATAGGCCAGGTAGACTGTTGTGCCACAGCATTGAACATAGGCTACATAATAGAGAGTTTACAACATACATTACAGAGAGTAGTTCTATGTAATTGTTGTGAGCTATGTAATCTACTTCTTAAGCTGTTGCCATGGCAACATTCCTTTATTTGGGGGAACGGGACTAAAGCATGTTAAGGGTCAGTGGTGTAGACGTAAAAGGAGAGAGTGAAAGACAGAGCGTTTTGTTGTAACACAGGAGAGGAGCTGACTTTGGCCTTGTACACACACCACCAGAGTTTGAGTTGTTGAACCCATTGTAATTCCTTCAGGGTTAGTCTGTGTGTCTTAGCACCCCCTCCTACTCCTCTCACTCAAGAGGCACCAGTCTCCCTTCTCTCTCTCATGTTACCGTCTGCTGTATTTATGACTGTCGAGGGCTAGGAGAGTTTAGAGGATGACTTTGTCCTTATGGTGGGACTGAGACTGAGTTCCTGAACTCTCTCCTTCTCTTCTTGTTCCTCTTTCCTTCCCTCTCTCCCCTTCTCATGTCCTCTCTTTCTCCTAACTCCCTCTCTCACTCAGTGGCATGTATTCATGGATGTCAAGGGAAGCCAGGCTTCCCAAAATATTTGTCCAATAAAAAAATACAATTGATTAAATTATTTAATCTTTCGTCTCTGCGTTTTCATAATTTTCCGTCAATTCGCAATTGGCTGAATCTCATCAGAAATCATCAGAGCGAGGGAAACAGCGCCCCTCTGTCTCAGTATATGTAGTCCATATATCTGATGCTGTCTGGAACAAAAGAATATGGCATGTTGCCGCCGTAGCATTTCATTGATTGATTGATGCCAGCAAGCATTTGGCCTCCCTTGATAAAAAATAAATAAAATAATTAGCCAATCAGCGTTGACCTGAGCTCAACTGTGGGTTGTCCTGGTGCAGCAAAACGCCCCCAAGGGAGGCCAGTTTGGATTTTGCTTCCCACCAATCAAATCACATCCTAAGCAAAACGTCATCATTGTTAGAAACACGTGTCAGTTTCTGGTCTGCTTTTGTTGATGTCCTGCAGTAGCTAGCTTGCTAAATCGGCCCTTTCCTAAGCCATGGATGGAGATGTGGATTTGGACTTGTGGTTTTAACGATTGGCGATTCTGATCTAACCCTAAATTCAAATATTGTGCCACTGGCCTGAGACGATTGAAGTTCAATATGTAGCCTAGTAGGCTCACGTTAACTAATAATAAATAATATAATATGCCATTTAGCAGACGCTTTTATCCAAAGCGACTTACAGTCATGCGTGCATACATTTTTGTGTATGGGTGGTCCCGGGGATCGAACCCACTACCTTGGCGTTACAAGCGCCGTGCTCTACCAGTTGAGCTACAGAGGACCACAACTAGCTAGCTAACTTAGCTGGTTCATTGTTGCCCATATGAGGAAGTTAGGCTAGCAAGCATTTTAGCTAGGTAGCCTAAAAAACTAAAACTAAAAGTATGACAGCGCCATAGACCATTTTGCCAAATTGAAAGAGTGGAGGATGGCATTGGCATTCAACTAGTCTACAAGTAGGATGAGTCAACTTTAATTTTTTTGGTATCTTTAAGTTTGTTTTCAGTGTATTAAACTAAGCATGTATAGCCTTGTTAATTTGATGATGTTTAAATGTTTAAGTTGAAATGGTGCTGGAATAGCGGAGGCAGTCCTCCTGTTGTCTTTGTGCTGACTTGCGGTAACGCCGTAGTTCTAAATCAGAAGTTGTTTATAAACTGTCAAACATTAACTTGCTTGACCATGCTGCAGGTCATATACAGTGGCTTGCGAAAGTATTCACCCCCCTTGGCATTTTTCCTATTTTGTTGCTGCAAAACACCAGTCTCAACGTCAACAGTGACTCCGGGATGCTGACCTTCTAGGCAGAGTTACAAAGAAAAAGCCATATCTCAGACTGCCCATCTTAATCTTTTCTTTTTATTGGCCAGTCTGAGATATGGCTTTTTCTTTGCAACTCTGCCTAGAAGGTCAGCATCCCGGAGTCGCCTATTCACTGTTGACGTTGAGACTGGTGTTTTGCGGGTACTATTTAATGAAGCTGCCAGACACTCTAATGTATTTGTCCTCTTGCTCAGTTGTGCACCGGGGCCTCCCACTCCTCTTTCTATTCTGGTTAGAGCCAGTTTGCGCTGTTCTGTGAAGGGAGTAGTACACAGCGTTGTACGAGATCTTCAGTTTCTTGGCAATTTCTCGCATGGAATAGCCTTCATTTCTCAGAACAAGAATAGACTGACGAGTTTCAGAAGAAAGTTCTTTGTTTCTGGCCATTTTGAGCCTGTAATCGAACCCACAATTGCTGATGCTCCAGATACTCAACTAGTCTCAAGAAGGCCAGTTTTATTGCTTCTTTAATCAGCACAACAGCACAACAGTTCTCAGCTGTGCCAACATAATTGCAAAATGGTTTTCTAATGATCAATTAGCCTTTTAAAATTATAAACTTGGATTAGCAAACACAAGAAGGAACACAGGACTGATGGTTGCTGATAATGGGCCTCTGTACGCCTATGTAGATATTCCATTATACACTGCTCAAAAAAATTAAGGGAACACTTAAACAACACAATGTAACTCCAAGTCAATCACACTTCTGTGAAATCAAACTGTCCACTTAGGAAGCAACACTGATTGACAATACATTTCACATGCTGTTGTGCAAATGGAATAGACAACAGGTGGAAATTATAGGCAATTAGCAAGACACCCCCAATAAAGAAGTGGTTCTGCAGGTGGTGACCACAGACCACTTCTCAGTTCCTGGCTGATGTTTTGGTCACTTTTGAATGCTGGCGGTGCTTTCACTCTAGTGGTAGCATGAGACTGAGTCTACAACCCCACAAGTGGCTCAGGTAGTGCAGCTCATCCAGGATGGCACATCAATGCGAGCTGTGGCAAGAAGGTTTGCTGTGTCTGTCAACGTAGTGTCCAGAGCATGGAGGCGCTACCAGGAGACAGGCCAGTACATCAGGAGACGTGGAGGAGGCTGTAGGAGGGCAACAACCCAGCAGCAGGACCGCTACCTCCGCCTTTGTGCAAGGAGGAGCAGGAGGAGCACTGCCAGAGCCCTGCAAAATGACCTCCAGCAGGCCACAAATGTGCATGTGTCTGCTCAAACGGTCAGAAACAGACTCCATGAGGGTGATATGAGGGCCCGACGTCCACAGGTGGGGGTTGTGCTTACAGCCCAACACCGTGCAGGATGTTTGGCATTTGCCAGAGAACACCAAGATTGGCAAATTCGCCACTGGCGTCCTGTGCTCTTCACAGATGAAAGCAGGTTCACACTGAGCACATGTGACAGACGTGACAGAGTCTGGAGACGCCGTGGAGAACATTCTGCTGCCTGCAACATCCTCTGGCATGACCGGTTTGGCAGTGGGTCAGTCATGGTGTGGGGTGGCATTTCTTTGGGGGGCCGCACAGCCCTCCACGTGCTCGCCAGAGCTAGCCTGACTGCCATTAGGTACCGAGATGAGACCCTCAGACCCCTTGTGAGACCATATGCTGGTGCGGTTGGCCCTGGGTTCCTCCTAATGCAAGACAATGCTAGACCTCATGTGGCTGGAGTGTGTCAGCAGTTCCTGCAAGAGGAAGGCATTGATGCTATGGACTGGCCCGCCCGTTCCCCAGACCTGAATCCAATTGAGCACATCTGGGACATCATGTCTCGCTCCATCCACCAACGCCACGTTGCACCACAGACTGTCCAGGAGTTGGCGGATGCTTTAGTCCAGGTCTGGGAGGAGATCCCTCAGGAGACCATCCGCCACCTCATCAGGAGCATGCCCAGGCGTTGTAGGGAGGTCATACAGGCACATGGAGGCCACACACACTACTGAGCCTCATTTTGACTTGTTTTAAGGACATTACATCAAAGTTGGATCAGCCTGTAGTGTGGTTTTCCACTTTAATTTTGAGGGTGACTCCAAATCCAGACCTCCATGGGTTGATAAATTAGATTTCCATTGATAATTTTTGTGTGATTTTGTTGTCAGCACATTCAACTATGTAAAAAAAAAGTATTTTAATAAGATTATTTCATTCATTCAGATCTAGGATGTGTTGTTTAAGTGTTCCCTTAATTTTTTTGAGCAGTGTATATCAGCCGTTTCCAGCTACAATAGCCATTTACAACATTAACAATGTCTACACTGTATTTCTGATCAATTTGATGTTATTTTAATGGACAAAGAAATGTTTTTTCTTTCGAAAACAAGGACATTTCTAAGTGACCCCAAACTTTTGAACGGTAGTGTAGTTTCTCTCAGGTTACTGAGCTCAGCTGGGTTTATATGACTCAGTGCCAGAGCAGGGTGGTAGGATCTGTGTGTGTTCGTGTGTGTGTTTTTTTTTTGTATCAGAGGAGAGGAGTGTGCTATTTATCTTCATGACTACTGGAGCCTGTCTGGCTGTGGGAGTTCAGTCTACCCCGACAGCTAGCAGGCCTGTTAAATCAAAGAGCCCTTTAGATTGATATGTAGAGACACACACACACACACACTTAATGTGTGTAAACCAGGTATTTTAGCAACCCTGTTGAACCTATCTAGAGAGATAAACATAGAGATTAGAATCAGTTTATTTTGGCGTTTGGGTGAGGCCACAGACCGGTCCCACTATTATTTTTCTCTGTCTCTCCCTCTTTCTCTCTATCTCCATTGCCCTTTATCGTTCTCTCACTCTGTCTCTATCTCCCTTAACTTTTCCCTCCCTTCCTCTGTCTCGCTCACGTTTAGCAAAAACAAAGCTGCCATTGTTACCATGGCGATATTGTTCGTCTGGCCCTCTTTCCCTGATGAGCTCTAATGGTTAATTGGTGTCCCAGAATGCTTCAGAAGTGTCTGTCCCCGTTACACCCTGCCCCATACGGTAACATCACAAAAATACAGCACCCTGCTAAAATTAGGTTCAGTGTGAGATGAGAGGTGAGAGTTTGACCCCTGACCTCAGAACTCGTGGCCTTTAAGACTGGGTTAGTGTGTGTGGAGATCAATAACCCTAAAGAAGGCACTGCGTGCCGCAACGTTGGTTAGGTGTACCCATTGAATTGTTAGGAGCATATTTAGAGTGTGCGACTTTCTTTATATTTATACAGTTTACCCTCCGTTAGCCAGCACCTCAACAAAAATATGTGGGTTTGCGTCAGCTCATGCTTTTTATTACATGAAGATCAATAAGCGACACACTTTGAACTTTGTTTTCACCTCCATTTTTAATCATGGGAAATTATTAATGATGATTATCACTTTGGCTTTAGCATCAGGTGTTGACGAATTGTACTGTTTTCCCCTGGTTCCTCTGTTGATTAATCTCTGCCGGTCTCAATGCATGATCCTCAGTCAATAACTCCATCTGATTGGCTGATTTGCCTCACCTTTGACCTCTGCCCTCTGCTACTTCCTGTCTGCTGCGCCTCACCTCTGATGTCCCTCTCTCTGCAGGTAGGACAGGTGTGCTGGACGATCTCCTGCCAGAGTTTGATGTGGAGATTATGCCAGGTACGGCTGCTTGCCTCCTCATTCGCTGGCTACTGTCTGTCTCTCTCTGTCTGTCTGTCAATCTGTGTGTGATTATGCCTTTTCACCTCACCTGTCCCTTCCTTACCTGTTCCCCTCGGTGACATCCCCGGCTCTGGCTCTGCTACCCCGCCCCCATGCTGATCTCTCACTGTCCAATCATCTTCTGGGAATCTTGATTGATTTAACAACTGCAGAGGAAAGAACCAATCAGCTCGTGGCCTCATCTTATATTCTGCCTCTCCACAGTCATGCATTAACTCACTCTCGCTAGCTAGGTTTCCGTCCAATTTGCGACAGATTTTCATGCGAATATTCTCGAATCTGCATTAAACAATATGCACATTTTCCCACCAGAGATCAGAACAAATCAAATGTATTTATAAAGCCCTTTTTACATCAGCAGATGTCACAAAGTGCTTATACAGAAACCCAACAAATGATCTGTCGGAATTTATAAAATGGAAACCTTACTGTCCCAATCATATTCTTACTACAGTACTAAATGCATGGTGTGCATTTAATACCTCTCCTCAATGGAGCTGTCACGCTCTGGCTCCGGGACTGTGTATTGTGAGCCAGGGTGTGTTCATTTGGTTGTGTTGTATTTGGTTGTGTTTCATTGTTTGGTCCAGTGACTCCCAATCAGTGGTAACGAGTGTCAGCTGTCGGCTCGTTATCTCTGATTGGGAGCCATATTTAAACTGTCATTGTTCACCTTGGGGTTGTGGGTTTTTGTTCCTTGTCAGTCATTGTAACGGAGGACTTCACGTTTCGTCATTGTTTGTTGTTTTCGTGTTTCGGCTTTAATTTAATAAAGTCATGTTCACCTTCAACGCTGCGCATTGGTCCTCCTCATTAGACGATCGTGACAGAAAAACCCACCAAGATGGGACCAAGCAGCGTGTCCAGGAGCCGTCGCCAGGGAGATCCCTCACAGATCTCCTTCGCCTCCTGGACTGGGTCAAGCCGAGTGAGGAGGAGAAGGGCTTGACACTATGGCAGAAGGGCGAGAGGCTGGCGAGCAATATGGAGACCTGGTCCACGGGTAGGAGAGACGCCCCAAAAATTTTTAGGGGGGGGCTCACGACGTCGGACCAGCAGGAGGCCGCGATAGAGCGGCCCAGTGGGTTGCCGGAGAAGGCCGCTGGGTTACGGGGGCCACTGGTCGAAGAGGGGATGGAGGAAGTAGAGGCACGACGAGAGGTACTGGCGTGTGTTGCCAGTCCGGTCCGGCCCGTTCCAGATCCCGGTGTAGGACCAGTGGTGTGTGTCCCCAGTACAGTCCGGCCCATCCAAGCTTCCCGCACCAAGCCAGTGGTGTGCGTCGTCAGCCCGGCTCTGCCCGTGCCTGCTCTCCGCATCAAGCCTGTGGTGCGTCTCGTCAGCCCGGCTCTGCCCGTTCCTGCTCTCCGCACCAGGTCTGTGGTGCACGTCGCCAGCCCAGTCCGGCCCATTCCTGCTACTCGCAACAAGCCAAGGGTGCGAGTCGTCAGCCGGATTCAGCCCATTCCTGCTACTTGCACCAAGCCAAGGGTGCGAGTCGTCAGCCGGATTCAGCCCATTCCTGCTACTCGCACCAAGCCAAGGGTGCGAGTCATCAGCCGGATTCAGCCCATTCCTGCTACTCGCACCAAGCCATGGGTGCGAGTCGTCAGCCGGATTCAGCCCATTCCTGCTACTCGCACCAAGCCAAGGGTGCGAGTCGTCAGCCGGATTCAGCTCATTCCTGCTACTCGCACCAAGCCAGGGATGCGAGTCTTCAGCCTGGTGAGGCCTGTTCCGGCTCCACGCACCATGCAAAGGGTGCGTATCGTCTGCCAGGTCCGGTCCATTCCTGCCTCACGCGCCAAGCCAGGGGTGCGCGTCGGCAGTCCTGATCCAGCTAACTGGGTCAGATCGGACTGGGGGCACTACGGGGGGATTGTAATAGGGTGGTGGTCAAGCCCGGAGCCGGAGCCGCCTCCGAGGAACAATACCCACCCAGCCCTTCCCTATTTGGGGTGTAGGCGCGGTCGGAGTCCGCGCCTTTAGGGGGGGGTACTGTCACGCTCTGGCTCCGGGACTGTGTATTGTGAGCCAGGGTGTGTTCATTTGGTTGTGTTGTATTTGGTTGTGTTTCATTGTTTGGTCCAGTGACTCCCAATCAGTGGTAACGAGTGTCAGCTGTCGGCTCGTTATCTCTGATTGGGAGCCATATTTAAACTGTCATTGTTCACCTTGGGGTTGTGGGTTTTTGTTCCTTGTCAGTCATTGTAACGGAGGACTTCACGTTTCGTCATTGTTTGTTGTTTTCGTGTTTCGGCTTTAATTTAATAAAGTCATGTTCACCTTCAACGCTGCGCATTGGTCCTCCTCATTAGACGATCGTGACAGGAGCAGTGTTATTCACAAGAAACCCTACCCCCAATCTCTTTCGAAAATTAGATGTCTCTCTGAAGAGGTATACTTGGGATGTGTTTTTTCACAAGGGGCTGACTGAAGTATTGAGTTTTTAATTTCTGCTTATGCCCTGACGAAGTTCATCATTAGTGTTGAGAGCCTTCTCGTGATGTGAGGCTGCAATAGGAGTGCAGGCCCAAGCCAGCAAGCTCTGCCTCTCTACACCCTGAGCGTTGGGGGGTTAATATTACCTTTTATGTCAATGATTATTACAGATGTGGAGAGAGGACAGAGATGCAGAAGGTGTAACTTGAGTGAGTCACATGTAGTTACTAACTCAAGTAACAAGATGTGTATCTCTACTGTTTGTGGGATCTGTAGTCTTATTAATCTCTGTGTTTGTGTTCCAGAGTGGGTGTTTGTGGGATCTGTAGTCCTGGGCAGTATCTTGTTCCTTTTGTTGATGGGGATCTGCTGGTGTCAGTGCTGCCCTCACTCCTGCTGCTGCTATCTCCGCTGCTGCTGCTGCCCCGACACCTGCTGCTGCCCACGCCACCGTGAGTAACACACACAACCACAAACACACACAGTCTTACATTCACTTGCTTCCCTTTTTAAAAGTTTAGGATTTTAATATAGTTTTTTATTGTTTTCCAGTGTATGAGGCGGGGAAGATGGCAAAGAGTGGCCAGCCCCCCCAGATTGCTGTGTACCCCCCCTACTACATCCCTGGGGTCCCCACCATGGTCCCGTTTGCCCCTCCATCCCTCGCGGACCCTAAGATGGTCTCCTTCCCCTCAGTGGAGAAGAACCTAGCTGGGGGTGAGTGACCCAACCCACACCTGCGCTCGTCCTTTCAGTCTGCAGGACCTGGACAAGCCATTCTGCATTGTGGGAAATGTTGTTTTGCATGATATATCACAGTAACACTAACTACCATTTGTAGAGGGTCATCTGAGTTAACTAACCCTCTTCTTATGTCACTCTTTATTTTCTGTCTCTATACTGGGTGGAGTTGTATATGACCAGACCTGTGTGGGGGTGCGTGTATGTGTGTGGGTAGGTGGGCCAGGTGTGTGTGCATGGGTGCATTCGTATGTTCATGTGTGTGTGTGTGTGTGTGTGTGTGTGTGTGTTTTTATGTGTTTTTGTTTGTGTAATTGGGTTTTTACTGTGCCCATAGTGGCTTTTATCCTTAATATAAGTGGGCGTGGGTGTGTGCGTCCGTGTCCACAGTACGCAGTGGCTATCGTCTCCAGCCCAATCACAGTCAGGACTCTATGAAGGTTCTGTACTACGTAGAGAAGGAGCTGGGACAGTTTCCCTCTGCTAAGATGGCTCCTCCACAATGTAAGCCTGTACGGAGTCAGTAGTTCCTCTATAATCCCTGTGTTTGTGTGTGTGCGTGTCTGCGTATTTGTCTCTGTCTGTGTTTAATGTGTGTGTTTGTATGTAAGTATCTTTGTTAGTGCTTGTGTAAAAGTTTGTCATCCTCATCAGAAACCCTCCGTTACATTCTCCATTAACTTGATTTCGCCATTAATAACAAACTAACCCTAAATACACTGAATGTCATTAATTCCATCTACTGAGAGAATCCATCTGTGTTGAATCAGTCAAATGTTGTTTGGTAACTTTTTAAGGACTACTTATAAACTGCTTATAAACCATTATTAAATTATTTATTATCCATTTGTAAACTTTTATCAACATTAGTAAGTACAACACATTTTTGGACGATGTTATCTGTATTATCATAATGTTTTAAAGCAGTTTTTAGTAGATAATCAAATAGTAATACCATGAGGTTACACAGACCATTGGGGCAGGATGATGTCACTAGAACACATTTGGCCATGGATGGTGATTTACTGTAGACAAAAGACATCAGTGCACTGTATTGATTGGACTGTTGCATTTTTATCAGATACTATGAGATGGCATGGTTCTCTATTTCACATGACAGTTCATTTCCAAACCAGTGGCAATGTAAGAAGGTATAGTAATTTTTTGTAAACACACATTTATTTATGGATTGCCGTGGAAAGCATTTTGTCATTGGAAATTCCAATAAGGCGGAGGAAGACAGCCCTTTGGCTGGTGTGTTCCATGGAACGCATTCCCATTCTATGCATTCTGTTTCTATGGGTGGCATATTGTAATTTCATAATTGGCTCAGATTCCTTCTATAATGTCTCTCCCAAGATGCAAACTAAGAGCAACAGACCATGAGCGCCATCAGCAAAAGCATTTACTTTGAAAATGGCCAGTCTATATTTACACTCTGGCTATCAGATGTTGTTTGTGTTAGTTTGGGTGATATTTGATGATGTGTCTGTGACTCAATTAGAAGTGTTGATGCATAGTGATGATGGTGGTGTAGAGGTCGTAGATCAATTCAGATTCAAAACACTATTGTAAAAACTTTTCTTGAAAGCAGTAACGGTCTCCATAGTGATGTGTTGTCCCAGCAGCCAGTAGCCTATCAGAGCTCAGCTCTCTGCATGAGGGAGGGGACACGGATTTCCGGCGGACCTATCGGACAGTCCAGATGAAAGCTCTCCCGCCCATCGCCGACCTAGATGACCAATCAGAACTCATGGCAGCTCCCGTGCACAACAGTCGTCGACCCAGGCATTACCGTGGCAACGACACGGATGACGAACAAGACAGCAGGTACCACTGAGTGTGTGACTGTAACTCTGTAAGACTGTGTGAGGACTGTCTCTAAGGTACTCAATATATTTTGTGTGTCTGTGTGTGAAAGAAAGAGAAGAGGATGTTGTATTGTATATTGTATTCCTGATTATCTTGTATTTAGTGTAGGACTAAAATGTTAGTTAGCACTGTGCCTGCATTTGTGTATCTGTTATGTACTCTGATCCCCCCTGTCTTCCCTGTGTTTCAGGTGGAACCCCCGCTCTGTGCACCTGGAGAGGAAGACATTGGGCACAAGGGGGCGTACCGGCTCTCTGGATGAGCTGGAGGAGTTTGCTATGTCCTACGGCCCCCGTGCCCGGAGGGGCGAGCCCCGAGACCAGGAAAGGGACTACGACCTGGAGCTACGGGGGCGAGAGCACTACCCTCCCTACTGGGACCACAGCCCCCCTCGCCATTTCCATGGAGACCGGGACAACGACTGGCACCCCCGCCGCAGCCCCCCTCCCTCGCCGCAGAAGAGGAGGGACACGTGGGATGGCGATCGCGATCGCCCCTCTCGCCCCCACCAGCACGCCCAGGGGGGGAGGGGTTACGATTACACTTTCCTTAATGACCTATTGGAGCGTAAGGTGAGGGGGGCAGGAGAGAGGGGGGAGAGGGGTGAGAGAGGAAAGTGGCGGGCTGATGAGGATAGTGACACTCCCTCCAAGGGCAGTTCGAAGGGCAAGGGCAGCGATGGTTTCTACAGCCAGTCATCTAGCAACCGGCCCGAGGAGGAGGACTCTTTGCCTCCGTACTCGGAGTGGGAGGTGGAAAGGTATCGGACGGTCGACCCAACCGCTGAACGTTACCGCACTGTCGAACCACCCTCAGACCGGTACCGGACCACTGACCCGGCCATGCAACCGTTCTCCTATACCCGTCCCCCTAAAGGACTGGCACACACCGTACAGGGGGACAGAGAGGACAGGGACCAGAACCGAAATATGGTGAGTTACCTGTAGGAGGGTCACGTGGAAGAACACCCCCCTCTCCCCTAACTGTTGTCACAGATAGAAGAGCTCAGACGTAGAAAGCCCAGCAACTCTAACAGTCTCTAACAGACTGCCAACTGTATACCCACCCAAGTGTCTTAGTATTAAACCAACTGGCCATGGTTAGCATCTTTATTTTTTTATCAGTGGGTGTTTAACTTTTTTTTTTACTATATAAATCAAAACATTTTCTACAAGTATTTCATGTTGATTGATTGTTATGTGAAAAAATAGGCAGAAAGCACTATTTTGATGTTTTAATTTAGTAAATTAGTATATATTTTGTAAATAATGTACTCAAGAATACATTCTCAAGTGTAATGCTTTATTTTAGAGGAAAAGGGTCAAATCTTAATGCCAACAAGAATGTATGTTACTGTATGTGATTGTATCATCATTCTTGTGGAACTCACTCACAGACATTACTAACAGACCATGATCTGCATGATTGGTGTAGATCCCCACACTGCCTCACTGACCAGGCCTGACTAATCGAGCATGAGCAACATGTTTGCAGGGTATCTAACGTGTGGCTCTTGGTGTATTTCTTTAACAGACCCCTGCTCTGAGCAGAGACTCTCTCATAGTGTGATACACCAGAGAGAACCCAAGCCTGTACCTGCACTGCACTGCCAGTATTGAGAATTACGCATCACTCACTTAAAACATCATGCATCAGCCTGGTAGAGACTAACTGCACATCAGGCATCAACCACATGGAGAAAGGCTTATCCAATAGAATGCTTCTATCCACAGAAGGATTGGAAGGCACCTTGCATGGATCATGAAATGACAATGGAATGTGCATTGTTTATGCATGAATTGAGGAACATTTGGAAAATATGATTGTTTGTATGTGTGTTGAGCGTGCATGCATACATACACACCATTTGAATGGGTATGTATGGGTGCAGCGTGTGTGTGTGAAGCATTTGTGTGTATGTGCACTGAATGCCCATATTCAGGTTAATCTGTAATCTCAAACCAAGCATTCCACAGAGCAGTCCCGCTCTCTCACCTATACAGCATGGTTACAGTTCCCATGAAGTTACCCTGACAGCAATGATGCAATTAGGGGTTAGGGATATTTGTATGTATCGGTAGGTATTATTAGGTGTGGGGAGAGCTAGGACAAGGGGTTAGAAAAAAGGTAGGTAAAGAAGTAATCAAATAACCTTAATGGGATCATTTCATGTGTGTTAAAGTGCAGGATTGTTTTCAGAAATTATCTATATTCTATATCTATATTTACCAATTGGCCATTATAATTGTACCTCCAATACTCCCCCACATGCCAAACATTTTATCACACTATAGGTGTCAATTGGGCCTATAAAATGGCAACTCAGGTTCACCTGCCTTCATTGTGTGTGTGTGGGTGTGTGTGTGTGTGTGTGTGTGTGTGTGTGTGTGTGTCATATACTGTACCTATTGTAAGTGTACTATACCTACTGAGCTTGAATTTGTATTACAGATTTGCAATTTCACTGTAATGTTATTCTGTATTAGCCCACAGTATTAATTGAACGGGCCCCAGTTAACTGGTTTGAAACTGTGCCATTCAGCCAGAGCAGATGTTTGTATTTCACTTGTTTGACATTTATGATTTTCATATAAACACCTGTTGCCTATCATAGATTGTGCAATTGTGTGTGATTATTACTTCATTTTATGTGTGTGTACATTGGGGTTGGAATCTGTATCTTATCTCTTATCTATGTTAACTGCTTAATACACACAGTGCTTGCTCACAACTTTATCTACACACAAAAACACAACAGATATTCACAACTCTTAACACCCTTCTCTGACAATGACCATTCATTTTGCACATTTTCACACATGCACAGGTGAAACAACAAACAATTTATACCATAGTATCTCTTATTCCCCAAGACACATACAGTGAGGGAAAAAAGTATTTGATCCCCTGCTGATTTTGTACGTTTGCCCACTGACAAAGAAATGATCAGTCTATAATTTTAATGGTAGGTTTATTTGAACAGTGAGAGACAGAATAACAACAAAAAAATCCAGAAAAACGCATGTCAAAAATGTTATAAATTGATTTGCATTTTAATGAGGGAAATAAGTATTTGACCCCTCTGCAAAACATGACTAAGTACTTGGTGGCAAAACCCTTGTTGGCAATCACAGAGGTCAGACGTTTCTTGTAGTTGGCCACCAGGTTTGCACACATCTCAGGAGGGATTTTGTCCCACTCCTCTTTGCAGATCTTCTCCAAGTCATTAAGGTTTCTAGGCTGAAGTTTGGCAACTCGAACCTTCAACTCCCTCCACAGATTTTCTATGGGATTAAGGTCTGGAGACTGGCTAGGCCACTCCAGGACCTTAATGTGCTTCTTCTTGAGACACTCCTTTGTTGCCTTGGCCGTGTGTTTTGGGTCATTGTCATGCTGGAATACCCATCCATGACCCATTTTCAATGCCCTGGCTGAGGGAAGGAGGTTCTCACCCAAGATTTGGCGGTACATGGCCCCGTCCATCATCCCTTTGATGCGGTGAAGTTGTCCTCTCCCCTTAGCAGAAAAACACCCCCAACGAATAATGTTTCCACCTCCATGTTTGATGGTGTTCTTGGGGTCATAGGCAGCATTCCTCCTCCTCCAAACACGGCAAGTTGAGTTGATGCCAAAGAGCTCCATTTTGGTCTCATCTGACCACAACACTTTCACCCAGTTTTCCTCTGAATCATTCAGATGTTCATTGGCAAACTTCAGACGGGCCTGTATATGTGCTTTCTTGAGCAGGGGGACCTTGTGGGCGCTGCAGGATTTCAGTCCTTCACGTCGTAGTGTGTTACCAATTGTTTTCTTGGTGACTATGGTCCCAGCTGCCTTAAGATCATTGACAAGATCCTCCCGTGTAGTTCTGGGCTGATTCCTCACCGTTCTCATGATCATTGCAACTCCACGAGGTGAGATCTTGCATGGAGCCCCAGGCCGAGGGAGATTGACAGTTATTTTGTGTTTCTTCCATTTGCGAATAATCGACTGTTGTCACCTTCTCACCAAGCTGCTTGGCGATGGTCTTGTAGCCCATTCCAGCCTTGTGTAGGTCTACAATCTTGTCCCTGACATCCTTGGAGAGCTCTTTGGTCTTGGCCATGGTGGAGAGTTTGGAATCTGATTGATTGATTGCTTCTGTGGACAGGTGTCTTTTATACAGGTAACAAACTGAGATTAGGAGCACTCCCTTTAAGAGTGTGCTCCTAATCTCAGCTCGTTACCTGTATAAAAGACACCTGGGAGCCAGAAATCTTTCTGATTGAGACGGGGTCAAATACTTATTTCCCTCATTAAAATGCAAATCAATTTATAACATTTTTGACATGCGTTTTTCTGGATTTTTTTGTTGTTATTCTGTCTATCACTGTTCAAATAAACCTACCATTAAAATTATAGACTGATCATTTCTTTGTCAGTGGGCAAACGTACAAAATCAGCAGGGGATCAAATACTTTTTTCCCTCACTGTATCTGTGGCTGAAATACAGTGAGCTCCAAAAGTATTGGGACAGTGATAATTGTATTTGTTGTTTTGGCTCTGTACTCCAGCACTTTGGATTTGAAATGATACAATGACTATGAGGTTAAAGGTATTTTGATTCGTATCGGGTGAACCGTTTTGAAATTACAGCACTTTTTGTACATAGTCCCCCCATTTTAGGGGACTAAAAGTATTGGGACAAATTCACTTATGTGTATTAAAGTAGTCAAACGTTTAGCATTTGGTCCCATATTCATAGCACGCAATGACTACATCAAGCTTGTGACTCTACACATTTGTTGGATGCATTTGCTGTTTGTTTTGGTTGTGTTTCAAATTATTTTGTGCCCAACAGAAATGAATGGTAAATCATTTATTGTGTCATTTTGGAGTCACTTTCATTGTAAATAAGAATAGAATATGTTTCTAAACACTTCTACATTAATGTGGACGCTACCATGATTACAGATAGTCCTGAATGAATTGTGAATAATGATGAGTGAGAAAGTTAAAGATGCACACACACCCAGACATGATATTTTTGCGTCTGTAACTTTCTCACTCATCATTATTCATGAGGAATATGGGACCAAATACAAAACGTTTGACTACTTTAATACACATAAGGGAATTTGTCCCAATACTTTTGGTGGGGGGGACTATGTACAAAAAGTGCTGTAATTTCTAAACAGTTCCCCTGAAAATACACTCAAATTAAAGCTGACAGTCTGCACTTTTAACCTTATAGTCATTGTATCATTTCAAATCCGAGGTGCTGGAGTACAGAGCCAAAACAACAACCAAAAATGTCACTTTCCCTATACTTTTGGAGCTCACTGTATCTGTCCCTTCTGAATGTGGGACAACACTGAACATTGATCAGTATGCTGACCATGACAAGGGGAAATAGAGTGTAGCAGGAAATATGACAGGATTATAGATTCCACAAGGTCGGACCAAGATGCATCCTTTCCAGGATAACATCACAATACCAGGAAGGAAGCTTTCACTTCAACATCTGGTCTTCACAGATGCAGAAACCCTTTTCACTGTAAAATGGAGTGCATTGCATTTATAAAGCACTTTTCACAAGGTCTCAAAGCGCTTTACTTTGGGTCCAGAAAAGCTCTTGAGAGTGGAGCTCAAGCTGGCATGTTGTTGTGTTGAGTGAATAAAGCTTGCTTACATGTTGGAGAGAAAGGGGGGAAACTATTAACACAAAAGCACTCCCACGCTTGTTTAACATCACCACCCTTCAACGCTGGGGCTTGGCCAAACTTCATAGAGCGACTGTCTACCTGTATGAATAGAGCATTCAATATAAAACCACCCACAAACAACCAACCTTCATTTCAGAGCAGGATGGTCTGTGACATAACTGTGACCTCTCCACAGTGCCTTTTTCTTCCTGCCTGTAGAAATCCTGATTCACATGGACATTTTGTGTTTTGTTGACATGGAATTCCCACCCTGCTGAGAGTACAAACAAGCTTGGCATTAAGACACAAACCCAGGGCAGGACAGACACTGAAGAGGAGATAGCTGGGGCCCGTTCATTGTAAATCATATAGCCAAGTTGAATAGGCTGGCTGACAGTCCACAACTACTGCACAATATGCTAATACATCCATCTAATGTTGTAAATTAAGTTCTGGTCACGTCAGGGTTTGCATTGTAATGGAGCCTTCCCACAGAGCATACAAAAGGCCAAACATGAGTCACTGTACTTGGACCTTAACTGTTCAATGTATCTGTATGTTCTCCATTATCTGGACACATCCTTTGATACAATTTATTTCACATGGGTCTAGATTATTTCCAAGCAGGTCAAGTTCCTTGCCTCAGCCAGGGTACAATATAAAATACAATATTCCAGTTGTAGACAACACAAGTCGATGCTGGATGCCTTGGTTGCTTCCTTGTGGAGGTTGTGATGTATTGGAAGCATTGGATATAATCAGATGTTTGTACAGTCGTGTTGATTTTGAGTTGATATTATATAGAAAGATCACCACTTTTACTGAAGGCCTATAGAAAATATATATCTGATTTTCTCAAGACACTATGTAAAAGGCATTTCCAGAGGCTTTATCTTGTGAAGATAATCCATTTTAAAGTCCTAGTTCCCTGAACTATTTGATACATTTAGGCCTATATGTATTTCAAAATTCGTTTCCACGTGCACGAGTCTTCCATACGCACCTGCATTGTGTTACACCTGTTACCGGAACCCGCAGACGCATTCTGCATGGTAATGTTCCCTTGACACCTGGGGTGTATTCATTACGTCTTGCAACAGAAATAGTTTACCGTTTAAGAACCAAACGGAAGCAAACAGAGCAAACGGAACGAAACGGAGAGGGACCGACTAGAATATGTCCAATAGAAACTCTGGTTTTCATTTTCAGTAAATGGTTTGATTCGTTTTGCAACAGAATCGGCGTAATGAATACACCCCCTAATCGTTCGAATGAATTTATTTGAAGGACTATTATTTACATAAAATGAAGAAAGTACGCGTATGAAGCGTTGCATCGACAAATGTCTCATGGTTTGATCAAATAGTTTATTTCTGTATCGATTGACTAAAGGTTAGTCGTCTTTTAGAGGCTTCTGCGTTGGAATGGTGAAGAACAAAATGGGAAATATGATCTTGCTTGCGCTTCTTGGTTGGTTTCCTACGGACAGGTAAGGTTTTATCTAAAAAAAAAAATTCAGACACGCCTCTACCATTTCTTAAACAAAAAAACAAAAAAAATGAGATGTTCGTTTTCTTGTTTCTTTCCAAAATAAGCATGGTGACAGGTGTAAACATGACAAGAAAAACAAAAAAAATGAGATGTTCGTTTTCTTGTTTCTTTCCAAAATAAGCATGGTGACAGGTGTAAACATGACAAGGCCAACCCAAATCGTGGTCACGTTTGAACTTTTAACATTAAATGTTGCTAAAAATTATTACACGATAGCACTTATATGCGAATTAAGCAGTTTGAAAAACCGTTGCTATTAAACATTTGAATGCTCACAAACAGATGTCTTAACAATTTACTATCCTCTCTTTCTTTCTCTCTCTCTCTTTCAGAGGTGTTTTCCATCCAGGTGATTGTTCCTCAGACAGAGAGGAGTACAGCTCTCTTTGCCTCGGTCATCATACGCTGTGACTACTCCACCTCCCACCTCGGCCAACCAACAGGAGGTCCTGGTCACCTGGCGCTATAAGTCCTTCTGCAAGGACCCCGTGCTGGAGTTCTACTCCACAGGTGAGATACATGTATTACAGGACAGACGAAGGAGTGAAACCTGAGTGACCATGTGAACCATGAGTGGACACTAGTGTAGCCCTCCCGCTGTCTATACGTTATCATGTCTTCTTATAATGGGGCTCTAGCCATTGTCTTATCATAAATCGTAACAACAGGGCTGTGGAGATTGATGTCATACTGTAATAGAGCAGTGAAGATTGTGCTGCTACCATGTTGTGTTGCTACCATGCTGTGTTGCTACCATGCTGTGTTGTCATGTGTTGCTGCCATGCTATGTTGTTATTTGTTGCTGCCATGCTATGTTGTTGTCTTAGGTCTCTCTTTATGTAGTGTTGTGGTGTCTCTCTTGTCGTGATGTGTGTTTTGTCCTATATTTTTATTTTATTTTTTATTTTAAATCCCAGCCCCTGTCCGCACAGGAGGCCTTTTGGTAGGCTGTCATTTTAAATAAGAATTTGTTCTTAACTGACTTGCCTAGTTAAATAAAGGTTAAATAAATAAAAGATTGTGATGTAATAATAGAAATGTGTAGCTTTGGGCTGTGGCAATTGTAATGTCATGCTGTGGAGATTGTGCTGACATAATGGGAATATGACAATTGTGACTATAATGGAGCCTCAGAGATTTAATGGGATGTCATAATTGTATAGGAATGTCATAATGAGGCTTTGAAGATTGTATGATGTCATAATGGGGCTGTTGAGCTTGTACTGTCATAATGGGGATGTGGAGATTGTGATGTCATTGTGGTGCTGTGGAGATTGGGACACCAATATTATAAGGGAGCTGTGTGTGTATAATGGTGATAATGCTCCCATCAGGCTGCTCTGCAGCTGGGCCAGGACCCAACCAATGACTGTCCAGACCGCCAGCGCACCAATGAGGTCATGCTTGGCTCTGAGTATCGGGAGCGCAAGATATCCATCCAAAACAGTGAGTCTGTGACCCCAACATACCCCAAATCTCTTCAGCTGAAACACAAGGAGATTTGTAAATGTTATCATGCACATGTACAGTAAGTGCTTCTGTGTGTGTGTCCACAGAGGCCGACCTGGTTATCAATGAGGTAATGTGGTGGGATAACGGTGTGTACTTCTGCTCCTTCGACGCGCCCGGAGATACTTCAGGAGACTCAGACCGCGAGGTCAAACTCATTGTTTACCGTAACTGACTATTAGACATAGGCCTAGTAGTGTATATTTAGGGCAAGTTTTAATTGCAAGTTCTACCAATGCTTTACTTTAATTGACAAACTATGGGTTGTCTTTGGCGCATCATTAAAAAGGACCCTCGGGCTTAAGACGAACTGTGCAGCTAAGATGTTACGCAATATTGGATCATGTTTCATTCTTACATAACAACTATCATGTAAACTTCCTCAAATTATTTTGAGGTTCAGAGGTTCTCTATGTAAAACATGCAACGGGTATATAATGTAATGGGCTATTTTGTCTTTATAAGAATATAAGTGACATTATATCAGGGTAGAGACTTGCTATAGTTGTCTGTGTAGCACTTTAAAATCAATGTGAGTAACACAGGCCTTTTTGGCACTAGCGTCATTTTTATGCTTTTAAAATTGCCCAATCCCAAATTAACTCCACTACCCCCTATGCATTTCTGTAGATCTAAAAGTATAAACAAAATGGTAGTAGCTCCAACACCATGCGTGGCATACGGCGGAGGCACGCGTGAACATACAAATCGAAATGAGAGGGGCGAGGGGAAGGGGTTAGTTTGGGATTCAGTATCCTGCTGTATCCACTGTGGTGGTATGTGTCCTAGTATGTGACCCGTGACCTCTGACCTTGGTCCAGATTGGCTGACGGTGCTGTTTATCATCATCGGGGCTTTGCTTCTCATCATGCTGTTCTGCATCTGCTGCTGCCAGTGCTGCCCCCAGAAGTGCTGCTGCTACATCCGCTGTCCCTGCTGCCCACCTTGCATCAGTCTTAATTTTGGCACTCTTTTTTTTAGATTTAGTCTAGTCGAAAATATCATTAAAGATGCACTATACAGAAATCGCTCCGCCATTTCCTGGTTGCAAAAATGCTAATAGTTCGCTTAACTTCCAGTTATGTGACAAAACAAGCAAGTATAGTGTAGAGAATCAGTGTACTATCTAAACCGCTGTGAAATATATTTTCCATAACCAAAAATATTGTATTTTCATCTGTTTAAAGCTGGTGTTAAAAATCGAAAGTAAAAGATGCAAAAACAAAATGTAAGAACGGAAAGCATAGAAATAGCACACACAGAACAGATCTACGCTTCATAGACTTGCTTTCAATGAGAATGACAGATCTATAACCAACATTTCTATGTGAATATTGCAGCTTTAAGTCTTAGTCACATTTTTGTCATTTGAATAATGATTTAGTCTAGTTATTTTCAAAATGATGAAAACTGGGCCAATTTTGTCAACTTAAATACCCTTTCATTTTAGTCACATTAACCTATAGTAAACATAAATCACAGACTTCCATGTGCACAAACATACATAGCCTTATCCTACAACATATCTTTCTCCATAACGTCCTATCGCATGATTCTCTTCCCAACAGCCAAATTGGCATAACAAATTACTCTGCAGCAGATTTTAAAAAATCACACCCCTTGACATACTGTAGCTATATTGTAATCAAAGCTGTGTCATAAGTAGTAGTCGGATAGGTTGCAGCAAACAAACTAGCTAGCATTATCAATCTGTTATTACCTGAGCGTATATATTGGGATGACACTTTTTTTTTTTTTTTCTTGAGGTTGGTAGTATTTTTCCCTGTCAACTTGTGGGTAAAAATGATGCATCGGTCTTGTTTGAATAAGTAAAGTGGCTCCAAACGTCGGCTCTTTTTCTACCGGGAGCTTGTTCCACCGGGAGAGTTGCCATGGCGTGTGCCTTGTTTGCATCAATGATTTGTTGCCGCTAGGGTAGCAAAATTCAGAGAACTTCCAATAAATTCCCTGCTTATTCCCTCCTGATTCTGGTAATGCTCCAACCGGGATTTCGGGGAAACCAGGGAATTGATTGAACGTTCAAGGAATTGTGCAACCCTAGATTGGAGAAGGGTTATTAGGCAGAGAGCTGACTCGTGAATGACCTGGGCATGGTATTTATTTTCCACCAATAACAGCATTGCAACATTGCAATGAGAAAGCCCTACAATTCTGCTAATGTCATGCATGCTTTTGATTGGACCAAACAAATAATACTGAAAAACTCTCAATCTCACCAAAAACTATTGTCCAGTCCACTTACTAGTCAGATTGTAGTCAGAGAATTTAGTCTCATCTCGTTTTCGTCAGCCGAAATGAAAAATCATTTTTGGTTAGTTATTGTTTTTTCTGGGTCTATTTAATCAGTTATCATCTCGTCAATTGCCACCGGAAAATAGGTGTTTGTTGAAATTCACTGCCCTGCATGCTGTAAAACTATCTACTGAACTCAGGTCAGTCTTATAATGGTGCTAATGCTGTGTCATCCATTATGTCTCTAGGCTCGTTCTCTGATGGGTATCCTACCAAGTCCAACTTTGCCATGGCCCCGATGGGCTCCTCACCCCTGCCCCTCCAGCAGCAGCCTCCCCCTATCCCCCACCACCACCACGGTAACGGCAGCGTGCACGGCACCAACCAGATGTTGGACTTAGCCAGATAAGGGGGATGGACGTGTACGGTCAGATGCCTGCCCCTCATCATCAGCACCTGCCACCCCAGGCCCACCAGTACCAGCCCCAGTCTCAGCCTCAGCCCCAGGGGGTCCCCTTCACGGCCGCCCCCCCGAGTATGCTGCCTGCCCTGGATGAGATGGGGGTGAGGGGGGTGGCGAGGAGGGTGATCACTTTGCCCCCTATCGTCCAGCGGGTCCCCAGCTTCTCCTCTCGCAGGGGGACTAGAAGGGGAGGAGGAGGGACCAGGGGGTTCCCCAGAATATCCAGTCAATCCAGTGGCAGCTCCAACCGGACCAGCGTTGACGGAGGGGGGGGGGGCGACAGTGGGCATTACCGTGACACGCTGTGTGAAAACCGCCACCCCTCTCCTCCGCGGCGAGGCATTCTGCATAGCTACAGCGATGAGTCGGACTGGGACAACAGGAGAGGAGGGCCGAGGAGGGAGGGGCGAGGTTCGGCCGGGAGTAGGACGGGTTGGTCCGGGTCAGCACAGCGGTCCTGTAGTCGCGATGACCTGATGAAGGAGCTGCATCGGTCGGCCCCAGCCAGGCAAGACGGGAGCTACTCACCTCCTCCCCTTCTTCAAGGGTCCTTGAGCTCAGATGAGGAGGACAGCAGGAGAGGGGGAGGAAGGGACGGGACAGGGGGAGGCAAGGGGAAGCTGTGGCCAGAGAAACGCCCCAGCTACTCCTCCATCGATATCCAGAACGACAACAGGAGGAACTACGACCGCTACTCGGTAAGAAACACACACGAGTGCTGATGTACGACTCCTACCCATATACAGTGCATTCGGAAAGTATTCAGGCCCCTTGACTTTTTCCATATTCTGTTACGTTAAAGCCTTATTCTAAATTGGATTAAATTATTATTTTTCCTCATCGATCTTCACATAATACCCCATGATGACAAAGCAAAAACAGGTTTTTAGAAAATTTTGCAAATGTATAAAGATATAATAATACAGAAATATACATTTACATAAGTATTCAGACCCTTTACTCAGTACTTTGTTGAAGGACCTTTTCTCATGGTCTGAGAGACCTTTAAGTGCCTTTTGGGAAACTCCAAGCGGGCTGTCATGTGCCTTTTACTGAGGAGTGGCTTCCATCTGGCCACTCTACCATAAAGGCCTGATTGGTGGAGTGCTGCAGAGATGGTTGTCCTTCTGGAAGGTTCTCCCATCTCCACAGAGGAACTCTGGAGCTCTGTCAGAGTGACCATCGGATTCTTGGTCACCTCCCTGACCAAGGCCCTTCTCCCCCGATTGCTCAGTTTGGCCAGCTCTAGGACGAGTCTTGGTGGTTCCAAACTTCTTCCATTTAAGAATGATAGAGGCCACTGTGTTCTTGGGGACCTTCAATGCTGCAGACATTTTTTGGTACCCTTCCCCAGATCTGTGCCTCAACCCAATCCTGTCTCGGAGCTCTATGGACAATTCCTTCGACCTCATGGCTTGGTTTTTGCTCAGACATGCACTGCCAACTTTATATAGACAGGTGTGTGCCTTTCCAAATCATGTCCAATCAATTGAATTTAGCACAGGTGGACTCCAATCAAGTTGTAGAAACATCTCAAGGATGATCAATGGAAACCGGATGCACCTGAGCTCAATTTCGAGTCTCATAGCAAAGGGTCTTAATACTTATGTAAATAAGGTATTTCTGTTCTTAAAAAAAAAGAAATGTACAAACATTTCGAAAAACCTTTGTCATTATGGGGTATTATGTGTAGATTGATGAGAAGAAAAAATTAATTTTATAATAAGGCTGTAACGTTATAAAATGTGAAAAAAGGGAAGGGGTCTGAATACTTTCCGAATGCTCTGTAACATTGTGTACTCACACATACACTACATTCGGGATCGTACTGTCCTGGAACGGACATACTGTACATGCAGAATGGTACAGTACACACACACGCATCCAGACATTCACATGCACTCTTTTGACTACACAAATTACACTAGCGTAATAAACAGATTTCGTTACCCTCTCCTCTCCTCTTTCTCTCTCCCCATCCCTTTCTCTGTTTCCCTCTCCCTGTCTTTTTCTCTTTTTCAGGATAAGAGCTCTCGTAGTGGTACCAGTGTGGTGATCTGAAACCTACCTACCTACCTGAAACCTACCTGCCTTTCTGACTTTTCCTCAGTGTAAAATGATGGTTTGTGTCTCCACAAACTGTCTGTCTGTCTTCGGAAGAGAATTGAAGAAAATGGGTTCGTAAACCAAAATCATTAAAAGGATATGCTGTAGTTAGGTGGCTCAAATGCCTTTTATACCTGTATAGACTTACAGCTTTAACAGTACCTACACTCCCCTAAGTATTTATTTGGACAGTGAAGCTATAACTTTTAATTTGGCTCTGTACTCCAACAGTTTGTATTTGAGATAAAATGTTTTATGAGTTGACATTACAGAATGTCACCTTTTATTTGAGGGTATTTTCATACATATTTATTTTACCGTTTTAGAAATGAAAGCCCTTAATGTATCTAGTCTCCCCATTTGAAGGTGTCATAAGTATTTGGACAAATTAAATTATAGTGTATTAAAGTTGTATTTGGTCCCATATTCCCAGCACACAATGACAACATCAAGCTTGTGTCTACACACTTGTTGAATGCATTTGGCAGTTTGTTTTGGTTATGTTTCGGATTATGTTGTTTCTGAACAGTTCTACATTAATGTGAATGCTACCAGGATTACTGATGATCCTGAATGAATCGTGAATAATAATGAGTGTGAAAGTTACAGATGCACAAAGATCATGGCCCCAAAACATGCTAACCTCTCACCATTACCATCACATTAACAGGGGAGGTTAGCATTTTTGTGGGGGTATGATATTTATGCCTCTGTAACTTCCTCATTCATTATTATTCACGATTTATTCATGATTATCCGTAATCATGGTAGCATCCAACTTAATGTAGAAGTGTTCAGAAACATATTCTATTCTTATTTACAATAAAAGTGACTGCAAAATGACACTACATTATTTACCATTAATTTCTATTGGATACAACATCATCTGAAACACAACCAAAACAAACTGCAAATGCATCCAACAAGTTTGTAGTCACAAGCTTGATAGTCATTGGGTGCTAGGAATATGGGACCAATTACTAAACTTTTGTCAAAATGTATTACACTAGAAGTGAATTTGCCCAAATACTTGACACCTTCAAATGGGCGGACTAGATACATAAAGTGCATTCATTTCTAAACAGTAAAACATATGTAGAAAAATACCTTGAAATAAAAGGTGACATTCTGTACTGTCACCTTATATAAAACATTTGATCCTCAGTCCAAAATGCTGGAGTATAGAGCCAAATTAAAAGTATAGCTTCACTTTCCAAATAAATACGTAGGGAAGTGTATGTAGTAGTCCTGTATATTGAATGGGATTGAAGGGCAAGGTCTATATGCAAAGGGTTTATTTTTATTTTATTTATTTAACCTTTATTTAACTAGGCAAGTCAGTTAAGAACAAATTCTTATTTACAATGACTGCCTACACCGGCCAAACCCGGACGACGCTGGGCCAATTGTGCGCCGCCCTATGGGACTCCCAATCACGGCCGGTTGTGATACAGCCTGGAATTGAACCAGGGGGTCTGTAGTGACGCCTCAAGCACTGAGATGCAGTGCCTTAGACCGCTGTGCCACTCGGGAGCCCAAGGGAGAAGATGGAGGGAGGGTGGCTACAGGAAGACCTTGCAAGTAAGCATTTCACTGTGGTGTTTACACCTGCTGAATCCTGTGCACATGATAAATACACTTTGATTTGATATGATTTAGAATACCGGAACCGGAAGGCACATATTTTACCTTTTGAAATCATGTACGTTTTTATTATTTTAGAATACGTTTTTTTTTACCATATAATTTACGTATAGGACAATGAAGAACATATAGCACGTTTATCATCAGTTGAAGGAATATAATTTGTTTATTATTGTACAATTTGTCAAGTGTGTTTCTCTCTTTTCTTTATAGATATAGTTTTGTATAGAGTATTTTGTTGTAGATTCTGTAGTGTGAGACTGTTTCTTGTTCAGGTTTGCCCAAGTAGGCCTACCTCTCTCTGTCTGTTGTTTATACAGTTGTCTGTTGTATGGTGAAAGTGAAGTGAAATCTTCATTGGCCTTGCTTTGTGTGGCATGTTCGAGCGTACTGTACAGTGAAAATTGTTATACGTCTATTACATTTTTACATTTCAAACCTGTCTGAAGTTTTTATAAAATATATTACAGATGGAGATGCTTTAGGTAAACAAAGTGCTGTGTGTACATGTGAGTCTTTTTACTTCTGCCTATGTACAGTATATGTAGGTTTCGCATCAATTAGGTTCGAACAAATATTTTCTACAGGGAATATACTATAAATGTAACACATTTTAAATAAATAGGTTTAGAGAACTGATGTGTGCCTTTTTAATTCTTAATACCATCGTTTTCATCTACACTGGTTCTCAGATGTTATTAAACTAATAATAGCTTGAGACATGCATAAGATAGAAATGCTGGTAGAGCAGTTGGTAGAGCATGGCGTTTGCAACGCCAGGGTTGTGGGTTTGATTCCCACGGGGGGCCAGTATGAAAAAAAATAAAAAATAATGTATGCACTCTGGATAAGAGCGTCTGCTAAATGACTAAAATGTAAATGTAAATATTGGTCCAGCAGAGGGAGACATTGACTTAACACGCTGCAGTACTTCTCTGCATGGTGGTGCACTCCTTGGAACAGCTGCACTTTTTCTCAATGTCGCTGTGGGTATACAGTGCATTCTGAAAATATTCAGACCCCTTGACCTTTTCCACATTTTGTTACATTACAGCCTTATTCTAAAATTGATTCAATCGTTTTTCCCCCCTCATCAATCTACACACAATACTCCATAATGACAAAGCAAAAACAGGTTTTTAGAAATGTTTGCTAATTTATTACAAATAAAAATCTGATAACACCCATTTACATAAGTATTCAGACCTTTTACTCAGCACTTTGTTGAAGCACCTTTGGCAGCCTATACAGCCTCGGGTCTTCTTGGGTATGACCCTACAAGCTTGGCACACCTGTATTTGGGGAGTTTCTCCCATTCTTCTCTGCAGATCCTCTCAAGCTCTGTCAGGTTGGATGGGGAGCGTCGCTGCACAGCTAATTTCAGGTCTCTCCAGAGATGTTCGATCGGGTTCAAGTCCAGGTTCTGGCTGGGCCACTAAAGGACATTCAGAAACTTGTCCCGAAGCCACTCCTGCGTTGTCTTGGCTGTGTGCTTAGGGTCGTTGTCCTGTTGGAAGGTGAGCCTTTGCCCCAGTCTGAGGTCCTGAGCGCTCTGGAGCAGGTTTTCATCAAGGATCTCTCAGTACTTTGCTCTGTTCATCTTTCCCTCGATCCTGACTAGTCTCCCAGTCCCGTCCGCTGAAAAACATCCCCACAGCATGACGCTGCCACCACCTTGCTTCACCGTAGGGATGGTGCCAGGTTTCCTCCAGATGTGATGCTTGGCATTCAGGCAAAGAGTTCAATCTTGGTTTCATCAGACCAGAGAATTTTGTTTCTCATGGTCTGAGAGTCCTTTAGGTGCCATTTGGCAAACTCCAAGCGGGTGGTCATGTGCCTTTTACTGAGGAGTGGCTTCCGTCTGGTCACTCTACCATAAAGGCCTGATTGGTGGAGTGTTGCAGAGATGGTTGTCCTTCTGGAAGGTTTTCCCATCTCCACAGAGGAACTCTGGAGCTCTGTCAGAGTGACCATCGGGTTCTTGGTCACCTCCCTGACCAAGGCCCTTATCCTCCGATTGCTCAGTTTGGCCAGGCGGCAAGCTCTAGGAAGAGTCTTGGTGGTTCCAAACTGCTTCCATTTAAGAAAGATAGCAGACACTGTGTTCTTGGGAACTTTCAATGCTGCAGAAATGTGTTGGTACCCTTATCTCTGCCTCGACACAATCCTGTCTCAGAGCTCTACAGATAATTCCTTTTGACCTCATGGTTTGGTTTTTGCTCTGACATGCACTGTCAACTGTGGGACCTTACAGTGAGGAAAAAAAGTATTTGATCCCCTGCTGATTTTGTACGTTTGCCCACTGACAAAGAAATGATCAGTCTATAATTTGAATGGTAGGTTTATTTGAACAGTGAGACACAGAGTAACAACAAAAAAATCCAGAAAAACGCATGTCAAAAATGTTATAAATTGATTTGCATTTTAATGAGGGAAATAAGTATTTGACCCCTTCTCAATCAGAAAGATTTCTGGCTCCCAGGTGTCTTTTATACAGGTAACGAGCTGAGATTTTAAAGGGAGTGCTCCTAATCTCAGCTTGTTACCTGTATAAAAGACACCTGTCCACAGAAGCAATCAATCAATCAGATTCCAAACTCTCCACCATGGCCAAGACCAAAGAGCTCTCCAAGGATGTCAGGGACAAGATTGTAGACCTACACAAGGCTGGAATTGGCTACAAGACCATCGCCAAGCAGCTTGGTGAGAAGGTGACAAAAGTTGGTGCGATTATTCGCAAATGGAAGAAACACAAAAGAACTGTCAATCTCCCTCGGCCTGGGGCTCCATGCAAGATCTCACCTTGTGGAGTTGCAATGATCATGAGAACGGTGAGGAATCAGCCCAGAACTACATGGGAGGATCTTGTCAATGATCTCAAGGCAGCTGGGACCATAGTCACCAAGAAAACAATTGGTAACACACTACGCCGTGAAGGACTGAAATCCTGCAGCGCCCGCAAGGTCCCCCTGCTCAAGAAAGCACATATACAGGCCCGTCTGAAGTTTGCCAATGAACATCTGAATGATTTAGAGGTGAACTGGGTGAAAGTGTTGTGGTCAGATGAGACCAAAATCGAGCTCTTTGGCATCAACTCAACTCGCCATGTTTGGAGGAGGAGGAATGCTGCCTATGACCCCAAGAACACCATCCCCACCGTCACACATGGAGGTGGAAACATTATGCTTTGGGGGTGTTTTTCTGCTAAGGGGACAGGACAACTTCACCGCATCAAAGGGACGATGGACGGGGCCATGTACCGTCAAATCTTGGTTGAGAACCTCCTTCCCTCAGCCAGGGCATTAAAAATGGGTCGTGGATGGGTATTCCAGCATGACAAAGACCCAAAACACACGGCCAAGGCATTAAAGGAGTGGCTCAAGAAGAAGCACATTAAGGTCCTGGAGTGGCCTAGCCAGTCTCCAGACCTTAATCCCATAGAAAATCTGTGGAGGGAGCTGAAGGTTTGAGTTGCCAAACGTCAGCCTCGAAACCTTAATGACTTGGAGAAGATCTGCAAAGAGGAGTGGGACAAAATCCCTCCTGAGATGTGTGCAAACCTGGTGGCCAACTACAAGAAATGTCTGACCTCTGTGATTGCCAACAAGGGTTTTGCCACCAAGTACTAAGTCATGTTTTGCAGAGGGGTCAAATACTTATTTCCCTCATTAAAATGCAAATCAATTTATAACATTTTTGACATGCGTTTTTCTGGATTTTTGTTGTTGTTATTCTGTCTCTCACTGTTCAAATAAACCTACCATTAAAATTATAGACTGATCATGTCTTTGTCAATGGGCAAATGTACAAAATCAGCAGGGGATCAAATACTTTTTTCCCTCACTGTATATTCCAAATCATTTCCAATCAATTGAATTTACCACAGGTGGACTCCAATCAAGTTGTAAAAACATCTCAAGGATGATCAATTGAAACAGGATGTACCTGAGCTCAAATTCAAGGCTCATAGCAAAGGGTCTGAATACCTATGTAAATAAGGTATTTCTATTTGTTGTTGTTTTTTTAACTTGTTTTCGCTTTGTCATTATGTGGTATTGTGTGTAAATTGATGAGGGGAAAAATTATGTTATCCATTTTAGAATAAGGCTGTAATGTAACAAAATGTGGAAAAAGTCAAGGGGTCTGAATACTTTCCGAATGCACTGTAAATCTGAATCTGCAGACTGGACAGGAACTTCCCAGCAGGGCAATAAAGTAGCATATGGCTGGAAAATATATTTAGTTTTGTCTAGAATTTTTTTTTTTTTATTACAGAGATGGGGTTGATTGTCCTCTTCAATTTATTTTCATGTATTCTTAAAATATATATATGTTTTACTCCCACTGCAATGGTCTGTATGGTAATAATTATGACAGAAAGAAGTAGTGCACTTTCCTCTCTAGCTTCCAAAATAGACAACACCCCCAGTCAGTGAATTAGAGGTATAAAGAGCATCTGTTCAATTCAGTTATGTGGATATGATCAAAGACTCCTACACTAGTACCGAAGATAGTTCATCTATGTCGTTTACAGTGGAAGCAAATGAAGCATAGTGGGCGGAACAAGCAAGTAGGTAGTGCGCGTGTGCACAAACTCGACATTGCACTCCTAAACAACGCAATTTTTTAAAACTTTGGCAAAGCGTCTATAAAACAGTGCACTGTGTTTGTAACATATTTAAGTTTTGGGAACAGAAAATGTATTGAGATCAGAAGTTTCATCGATGAGAAAATTATCTAAACGTAGGCACAGTTTCACCTAGTTCCATCCTCTCCCACTACCCGCGACTGGACTTCCTCTCACTACCATATTTGGTGGTGAGAAAACAACGTTCTAAACGGATGCTTCAGCTTTATAGCCCCTGTGATGTGTCTGGGTTATCCCTTCTGTCTGTGCTAGTAGGATACAGGAAGAGCTACAAATTATAACAATGGAAAATACAGTACACAGAAACAGGAGGGGAGGAGCGTAGAGTGAGGACATGAACCACATTTCGCTTTATCTGATTGGACGGTCTTGACGAAAAGGGCGGTTCTTCTACAGATTCAATGGGAAGTGAAAGCCTCAATGTCAACGAAGCTTGTATCAGCTGTTTCACACTGTTCTCAACATCCACTGATAAAAACATCGCGACGGAGAGAGATAGTCGTCTGCCACCAAACCCTATGAAGATTGAAGCTTTTTGCTGATAGGAACTCAAGGGCAGCGTCAACGTTTTCAGGTAGCGAGTTTAAGGTACTTTGTTTTGTAAATAACACAATGTGTTCTGCTGCCTATATTTGGAGCGCATATATATAGCTCACCATTGCCTAACAAGATGCAAAATTAACTTGTCGATTAGGATGGATACTGATAAACACCGTATTTACACTGCCATCATCATCATCGTGGCACCTGTTGTTTACCAACTGCGAGTGTTGAATTACATATTGAATTAAATACTTTGCCATAATTGATAGATTCAAGGCCTAACGTTGTTTAGGCTACTGTATGTGGAGGCCAACTGTATGCTGAAATTGGATGGTATGCATATTGCGTGCATGGAATTCTAGGTCTTTTTTTAATTAAACAATAGTGTGTAACTGCAGCCCCAATTCGGGGCGTTCCTGCATGTGCCCTCGAGCATCCCATTGGTTACTGCATATGAACGCCCGCTCCGGCCTGCCTTCTGTGTACCCGTAGTCCTCCTTAGGACTAGTTAACACAGTGTCCTTCGCTCATGCCTACAGAACCCCTGTCTTCATTAACAGAACAGCAGGAAAACAGTGCCCATATAGCTAGCAACTGTTGTCGCCCCAGCGTTTTATTGTGGGGTTTATCGACAGTTGGCAACCAACTTTATAGTGCATTACCGCCACCTACTGTAATGGAGCTCCCCCAGCCTCCCGCCTATGTACCGGAGTCATAGCTTAAAAATGGACCAATAGAAGTATATAGAGGGGTTTCTGCAGATGCAGGAATGCCCACATGCAGGAACGCCCTGAATTGCGGGCTGCAGTTGCACCCTTCTCTTTTTAAACGGGTGATTTAGGAAAAGTCAACATCCCCTCTCCCGCCCTCTCTCTTCACAGGAAATATGAACTCCCTAACAGGCAGGAGTGTGTCGCTTGGCAGACGCATGACAGCGGGCACTATGAGGGTCCTCGCGGGCGCAACGGGCCACCCTGACACCGTGGCCCGTGCGACCTGCCTCGAGGCAGTCAGAGTGTGTCACTCTGGCTCGAGCCGAAAGGGCAGCGTCAACACCAAGAAGCGCGGCTATGACATCACCAGAAACCCCCACCTGAACAAGGTAAAACCCTAGACCTCTACAGACAGTCCAGTGCCATCAGATGAAAAGCCACTGCTCTCGTTTAGAAAATCTAGATTATAGGTTGCTTTACAAAGGGTAAAGATGCACCGTACACTACACAGGTGATCTTCTAAGGCAGCACAGGTGTCACAAAGTTAAAGTGTGTGTGGCTAGTTGATGCATAGTATCTCTGATATGTGCACTATCTAGAATAAGATGTGTAGGAGTTTAGTGAGGGAGAGTGTTCTGTTCATGTGCAATATGCCACGTGTGTGCGTCAGAGAGCCAGGGTACAGTATTTGTTTATATTAATGGTCCGTACCCAGGTTAAAAATACATGCTGTTGAGAAGTCATAGTTAAAGGGATACTTCCCCAGTGTCAGATGAACTCGTGGATACCATTTTTATGTCTGTCTCCAGTATGAAGGAAGTTGGAGGTAGTTTTGCGGACCAATGCTAACTAGCGTTCGTGCAATGACTGGAAGTCTATGGATATAGTCATTGCGCAAAAGCTAGTTAGCATTGGCTTGCAAAACTACCTGTAGATATCAGGCCAATCAAAGTTCCCATTCAAAGTTCCCATTGATAAGAGAGCTTTAGGTTAAGGGGGTGTCTATTGTGGCTGTCTGGTGTGGGACGTCGTAGTAACATAGACATAAAGGGTGAAGAGTGAAATGCTAGTATGGTTCAGGTTCTGATTCTGATATTGTTTGCCCCTTCAGATGTAGGTTCAATTGGGCCCTGGGATCTCTATAGCCCGGTCCAAAATGGGCCATGTGACACACACCTCTTCAGGTTATTCTAGGTCATTGTGTTGAAGCCAATGAGACTAAACTGGACAGGAAGTGTCCATTGTTAAAACTGCTATTCTGCACTTTCTATGTGAGCAAAACATGATTTAAAAAACACTCAAAGCACCTGATGGCCTTTTTAGACTGCCTGTTTTGTACACCAGACGTTTTCATATTATAGGGCATAGGTCTATATGTTAATGTTAATCAGAACATGTGTTTTTAGCCTGCTCTTTGCATTACCCACCTCTCTCTCCATCTACTTATCTATCTATCTATCTATCTATGAAGGTGTAATTGCCGTGACTACATTTTTACATTTTACATTTTAGTCATTTAGCAGACGCTCTTATCCAGAGCGACTTAGTTAGTGAGTGCCTACATTTTCATACTAGTCAGCTGTGCTTCCTTAATGGGTTTACTTTAGGGCCTCCTTAACTGCTCTCTATCTCACAGGGTTACTTTAACTCTGTTAATCTGTGTGTGTGTATGTGTGTCAGATTGATATATAAGTGTGCGAATAATGTATTTCCATCTTGTGGTTGAATTACTTATGTGTTTGTTTGCACTTAATTTCATTTTTTGTGAATTTAAGTTGTAGAAAGGGACCAATATATGACCTTTCATCCTCTAGGCTACTGTTCCAAAGTCTGCTCTCAATTATGATCATTAATCTCTAACACAGTCCCATTCACCCCTCAGCGTATTGAAGGATTTGCCAAGGATATATTACTGGACATTTTATATCACCAGTTATCAAACAATTTTAACAATCACACCATCAAACAGTTCTTAGATTCCTGAAACAATGCACTCAAGTTCAAATTCCCCACTAAAATTAGGTTCCATAGCAGATACCCATAGACTTCCAGTCATTGCACTAACACTAGTTAGCATTGGCTTGTGAAACTACCTCTAACTTCCTTCATACTGGACACAGACACATAAAAATGGTATCCACGAGTTCATCTGACTCTGGGGAAAATCCCCTTTAACATCACGTAGTAGGAGAGAGTAGCAATTTATCCGCCATTGAAATCCTTGGGCAGGCCATCTAAGCATTTTTTCAGGGCACCTAAATCCAAACAGTGTAAAAAAACAAACACATATAATGTATGTAGAAAATATTATGGACAAGAAAGTATTCACACCCCTTGACTTTTTCCACATGTTGTTGTGTTACAGTCTGAATGTAAACTTGATTTAAATTGATATTTTGTGTCACTGGCCTACACACAATACCCCATAATGTCAAGGTGAAATTGTGTTTTTAAAGCCTAAATAAGTTCAGGAGTAAAAATGTGCATAACAAGTCACATAATAAGTTGCATGGACTCACTCTGTGTGCAATAATAGTGTTTAACATGGTGACGTTATTAATTACAATTGGGATGGTGTAGCAATACACCCATTCCCTACAAAGATACAGGTGTCCTTCCTCGGTTGCCGGAGAGTTAGGAAAGCACTCAGGGGATTTCAGTATGAGGCCAATGGTGACTTTAAAACAGTTACATGGCTGTGATAGGAGAAAACTGAGGATGGATCAACAACATTTTAGTTACTCTACAATACTAACCTAAATGACAGAGTGAAAAGAAGAACTTGTACAGAATACAAATATTCAAAACCATGCATCATGTTTGCAAAAAGGCACTAAAGTAATACTGTAAAACATGTGGCAAAGGAATTACCTTTTTGTCCTGAATACAAAGTGTTTGGGGCAAATTCAATACAACACATTACTGAGTACCACTCTCCATATTGGCTGCATCATGTTATGGGTATGCTTGTAATCGTTAAGGACTGGGGATTTTTTCAGGATGAAAAAATAAACGGAATGGAGCTAAGCACAGGCAATATCCTAGAGGAAAACCTGGTTCAGTCTGCTTTCCACCAGACACTGGGAGATGAATTCACCTTTCAGCAGGACAGTAACCAAAAAACGACACTGGAGTTGCTTACCAAGAAGACAGTGAATGTTCCTGAGTTAAAATATTACAATAATGCAACATCCATGTAAATGTGCCGGGGTTAGCCAAAAGCTAATTTACACCCGTGGTCCCAGGGCAGGTAAGGGCAATTACACAGCCACAATACAAATACTCACTAAAACAATACAAAATATAAATATATTACATCCAATAATATATCATTCTAACAACAACAACAATTTATTCGTAATAAAAACACTATCATCAACTGTTGTCTTTACATATGAGGAACCACAGATAATTCATGTGTACAGGTTTGGATAGATTTGATCCATGTTTTCAATTTAAATTTAAAAGTACAATAATCAGTGCAAGTTCTCAAGTCCCTAGGCATTGCATTCCAGTATATTGTAGCTCTAACAGAGAAGGCCAATTTGATCGAATTTACTGTGTCGAAAAGGGACAATGCAATCCCCTCTAGTTACTTCCCTTGCTATCCTGGAGGTGCTTTCCTTGAGCATGATATGCCGGCATAGGGGTGGAGGGGCAAGACCATGCAGATCTTAAAGACTTAATTTCATGGAGAAATTAGTAGAATTGTACAAAATTGGCTTCAAAATTATACGATTTCTCTACACCGCCAAGATGGGGACCTCTAAAATGTTCTCTTAAATTCAGCCTCACCAACATTGCAACGCCCCCTGCCACGCCCACCACCTAAGTCCCTTTTTGATCCAGAAAACCCCCGGAGATTGTCACTGTGATTAACATATTAGCCGTTTATTATTAATGGACCAAACCCCAGGTGCAAGTGTCACATTAGACTATCACAACTTGACATAGTGACACTACAATAGTGGTACATTTACAGTAGCAAGTTCCTGAAAACGTTTTAAAATGCGATTTATTTCCATGACGCACCTCTTGCTTTCAGAATAATTATTTCCATTGAAGAAAGAAAGAAGAGGTAGAGCGAGTGTGTGAGAAAGAGGGAACGCCAGAATACTGACATGACAGAGTAGTGGCACTAACCACAACCAGACCACAAAGTCGGGGTCCGGTCAGCCCACTGAGCAACTATATGAATTTCCCTTCATGCAATGACCTAATTAAAGGAATGCTCAAGACATGATCAGAACCACAACACAGCTAACGATCTAAAGCTTCTCTATTGAAGACAATAATTGTAAAGGCCTGATAACTGGGTGTTTATGTGAACCAGAGCTAGCTAGATCAATGCTAGCTAGACCAATGCTACAACATTGGATGGTGTCTGTGACACAGAGCGATCGTTGACCCTTATGTTGGATGTGTGCTCCTCCAATCTTCTGCAGGGCATGGCCTTCACCCTGCAGGAGCGCCTGCAGCTGGGCATCCACGGCCTGCTGCCCCCCGTCTACCTCTCCCAGGATGTCCAGGTGCTCCGCATCATGAAGAGCTACGAGGGCCGCAACCCCCTCGACAAGTGAGCACACACACTCTGATACAAATAAAACACACACACAACACACATAGTGTATGATGGCTAAAAATACACAGAAATACAGTAGCTTTCCTCCCTCTCTTATCACTTACTGCTCTCTGTTTCACCTTGTCCTACATCTCCTTCTGTTCTCTCTTTCCTCTCTCTCTCTCTCCATTTCCAACTCTCTCAATCTCTCACCATTTCTCTCTCTCGGTCTCTCTCTCTCTCTTCCTCTATCTCTCTCTCTCTCAGGTACATCTTGCTGATGACTCTGCAGGACAGGAATGAGAAGTTATTTTACCGCCTGCTGACGTCTGATGTAGAGGAGTTCATGCCCATCGTCTATACCCCCACTGTAGGGCTGGCCTGCCAACAGTATGGACTGGCCTTCAGGAGACCACGGTAGGCATGAAACGCACGCACACACACACGCACACACAGTGAATTGTTGTGTGATGATAGTGGCTCAGTGGTTCTGAAGTGTTAGCATGTATCCCACAGAGGTCTCTTCATCACCATCCATGATAAAGGCCACATTGCCACCATGCTCAACTCCTGGCCTGAGGAGAACATCAAGGTAAGGAGTACCTAACACACACACTTTACTCCGTGGTACAGGATGTTGACATAAGGATGTAAACAGCATAAGGCTCCCATAGGTGGAGACTACAAGTTTCACCATGTGAACCAAACCATGTGTGTGTATCCCCAGGCCATTGTGGTGACGGACGGAGAGCGTATCCTGGGTCTGGGCGACCTGGGCAGCTACGGCATGGGCATCCCCGTGGGTAAACTGGCCCTGTACACGGCCTGCGGAGGAGTGCCACCCCAGCAGTGTCTGCCAGTTCTGCTGGACGTAGGCACCGACAACCAGGTACTTCTACCGGGACACTCCATCAGGAAACACCCAGGCCTGATGGACCTCCGTAGGCCAATATCATGGTCCTTATCATTTGATCCAGCCATATAGAAGAAAAAAAGTATCTTACCTATGCTAAATGACTTAAATGTAAATGAACTAAATATGCTGCTGGAAGTTGTATGGCAGTGAGATCTAAGTAGGCTCAAGGTAAGAATACAATAATTTAGGGATTCACCAAGATTGCATAACAGTGTTGTTCAATTCCAAATGGACCCCTAGCCCCTCCCCCCCTATCCCCTCCTGTAGCTCTGAAGGGGTTGGACAGGTGCTAGATGTTGATTTGGAATTCAGGGCTCCACTATCACTTAGTTACTTCACTTAGTTACTTCCCTTATTTCCTAGAGGCCCTCGTCATAGAGCTTGAGGGTGACATTTTATCTTTGATCAGGCACTCCTGGAAGACCCCCTGTACATCGGCCTGAAGCACAAGAGGATCAGAGGAAAGGAGTACGATGACCTCATCGATGAGTTCATGCAGGCAGTTACTGACAAGTGGGTAGTGTGTGTGTGTGTGTGTGTGTGTGTGTGTGTGTGTGTGTGTGTGTGTGTGTGTGTGTAATTTGACCATCAGACCGACTGTTCACTGCTCCACGCTGCAGGTACGGAATGAACTGTCTGATCCAGTTTGAGGACTTTGCCAACTCCAACGCCTTCCGCCTCCTCAACAAATACCGCAACCACTACTGCACCTTCAACGACGACATCCAAGGTAACTCTCTCTCTTTCTCTTTGTCCCTGTCGAAAATCTACTCGCACTCCATACCCCCTATTTGCTATATGGATTACTGATGCCCTCCTGTGGTCTTAGTCAGAGACACATTATAGAGTTTTGTGTACTGTTGAAAGATGGATGTGCAAAACCATTCTGACTTCCGAGCACAACTGTAAAAACCCATCCCTTGTGTTTCTCACCCTCTCCCTTCTTTCTCCTGTGCTTGTCTCTTTCTCTCCCTGTCTCATTCACTCTCTCCCTCTCCCAGGCACAGCCTCAGTAGCAGTAGCTGGGGTCTTGGCTGCTCTGAAGATTACCAAGAACAAACTGTCAGACCACACCTTTGTGTTCCAGGGGGCAGGGGAGGTAAGAGGACAAACGTGCTGATCTGTGTTAATTATAAACTCCAAAACTTGTTAACGTTTGGAAACCTCACTCTCTTGAATCAAGCCTTGAAAGATAACACAAGCATGCAGATGAAATGGCTTGATAATCATCATGTTGCATGGCAGTGATTGGGTAGATTGCTTGGTAGCAGGATGCATCATGTCTTGGAAAAAGTACCCAATTTGTCATACTTGAGTAAAAGTAAAGATACCTTAATAGAAAATGACTCAAGTAAAAGTGAAAGTCACCCAGTAACATACTACTTGAGTAAAAGTGTTTGGTTTTAAATATACTTAAGTATCAAAAGTAAATGGAATTGCTTAAATATACTAAAGTATCAAAAGTATAAGTTATTCAAGGTCCTTAAGCGGACCAGACGGCATCATTTTATTTTTTTATTTTATTTACGGATAGCCAGGGTCACACTCCGACATAATTTACAAACGAAGCATGTGTGTTTAGTGAGTCCGCCAGATCAGAGGCAGTAGGGATGACCAGGGATGTTCTCTTGATACGTGCGTGAATATGACCATTTTCATGTCCTACTAAGTATTCAAAATGTAATAAGTACTTTTGGGTATCAGGGAAAATGTATGGAGTAAAAAGTATGTTTTTTTTCTTTAGGAATGTAGTGAAGTAAAAGTTGTAAAAAATAGAAATAGTGAAGTACAGATACCCCCAAAACTACTTAAGTAGTACTTTAAAGTATTTTTATTTAAGGACTTTACCACTGCTTTTTTTTACCCAGGCTGCACTGGGCATCGCCCACCTGCTAATCATGGCCATGGCGAAGGAGGGCGTGTCAGCCACGGAAGCCGCAAAGAAGATCTGGATGGTCGACTCCAGGGGCCTCATCGTCAAGGTAACGGCAATACCATAATATCATAGCTAACCTCCTAATACACTTGAATAGCTTCAAAACACTGATCTGATCAGCCTTCTCCTGAGCTGTCCACCAAGACATGGGTCGTGTTCAGTAGGATGCAATGTTACAGAACTTTCAGATAGAAATATCATGTAGATCAGTTATGCTGCACTGTCATGTAGAATAGGGAATAATGTCAGTCAGTTCTATGGGCAACGTTCAGAACGTTACCCCCTCCTGAACTGGATCCAGTTGTATGTCAGACTGACGTTTCCATGGTGTGACCCACAGGGCAGAGGAAACCTGAACCATGAGAAGGAGGAGTTTGCCCACGACCACGCCCATATCAAGACCCTGGAGGAGGTGGTGCACACCGTCAAGCCCACTGCCATCATCGGTCAGTCACCATGATCACTTATTGGCTAACCTGTGTAACTAGGGCTCATCTGTCATGGACTCTAGGCACAAAACTTCTTCAGAATGTTTCTTTAGAAATGGACCAGAAATGGACACTGGACAGATAATCAACATTGCAGAGCATCTCAGGAAGATATGCTTGTTTTGTTCTCACACTCAGTACTCTTTCCTGTGTGCAGGAGTGGCGGCCATCGGAGGGGCTTTTACTGAGAATATCATCAAGGACATGGCGTCCTTCAACGAGAGGCCCATCATCTTCGCCCTGAGCAACCCCACCAGCAAGGCAGAGTGCACCGCCGAGCAGTGCTACCAACTAACCGAGGTACTGAAACTCTGACCCTAACCTAGAGAATAGACATTCACTTACTGTTCCCTTGTTTGAGTGCCAATCAATGTGCGCTTACTAAATATCCTTGCTGTCATAGAAATAGAATGATCTGAAATAGAATGAATGCTCTCTCTCTTTGCCTCTTTTGCTCCCTCTCTCACTTTCTGTCTCGCTCGCTCCCTCTCTCCCAGGGGCGGGGCATCTTTGCAAGTGGCAGCCCCTTTAATAAGGTGACCCTGGCTGACGGGCGCTCCTTCATCCCCGGCCAGGGGAACAACGCTTACGTGTTCCCTGGCGTGGCGTTGGGGGTCATCGCCTGCGGGGTGCGCCAAATCTCTGACGACATCTTCCTCACCACAGCCGAGGTAACTGTTTGTCTTTTAATTTGACATTTTCAAATAAAGACATAAAACATTCGTAAAACATTTCAACTAAAGACATACAAACATTCCCAAACAGTAGAGGTAAAGGGTGCGTGTAATACTTATCAATCCAATTATCTAATACTATTGTTGAAGTTGAATAATATAATATTAGTTTCAATTTCAACATTTTCTGATCCACTTGTAAAATTGAAACAGTTTCTATTTCTAATTTTTCTACCCTGTAAAAATGAAATGTTGATATTATTTTTCCAATTTTCTAATTTACCTTGTGTCGTTTGAAAAATGAAAGTAGAAATATTGGTGCGGTTGGAAAACTGGGTGATTTCTAAATACGTGGTTAAAGTGTGCAGGGAGACACATCCAAAATGCTAAATGAATGAGAGGCGAGGTTTGGCGCACATGCACGTATAACCGGCGTCACTGTGCACACACACACACCAATTTCCCCTTGGCAACTTCAGACTATTGGCATACACTCTAGTAAAACGGCCATGATGCGTTATGAGCACAACCAAATGAAGAAACTCTCTTGTCACTGACTGCGAAGAGACCTACGTCTGAGTCCCTGTCAGTCTGCCCTCCGAATTCACTGCAACGTTCTGCTGCGTAGCCTAGACGAACAGCTAGGCCTAAATTATGAAAGGGATGTTCAGAATAGGGGGAGGGAACAAAACATCTGTGCGTAATTGCAAATAATGACCTTATCAATGGTGCTTAACTAACAGTAATTCCCCCTTATGGCAACTATCCTTTTAACGACTGTAGGTTAATTATCTTGGGATCCTGGAGACCAGGAGCTATGAGTGTGTATGTGTCCCATGTCGAGCTGCCCTCCAAATTTGCTACAACATCGCTATTTTGCAGCCCATACTAAACCTACAACGGCCCACTAGATTGAGGACCCATAACATGTAGGATAACAGTAGGTTACAGTGGGCAAGTGAAAGTAAATTAGACTAGCATATCGGCATTATAGGCCTATCCAACGGCTGCGGGAGGAGTGAAGCAGGGATTTTACGGAAACGTGTCTGTGGGAGGAAAGGCAACTCAAGGACCACACCTGCAAAGTAGCAAATAGGCACTCTTTCAATATACTGTGCGTATTCAGACCCCTTCCCTTTTTCCATATTTTGTTACATTACAGCCTTTTTCTAAAATGGATTAGATTACATTTTTTCGTCATCAATCTACACACAATACTCCATAATGACAAAGCGAAAACAGGTTTTTAGATTTTTTTGCAAGTCTATTAAAAATATTAAACATAAATACCTTATTTACATAAGTATTCACACCCTTTGCTATGAGACTCAAAATTGAGCTCAGGTGCATCCTGTTTCCATTGATCATCCTTGAGATGTTTCTACAACTTGATTGGAGTCCACCTGTGGTAAATTCAATTGATTGGACATGATTGGGAAAGGCACACACCTGTCTATATAAGGACCCACAGTTGACAGTGCATGTCAGAGCAAAAAACAAGACATGAGGTTGAAGGAATTGACCAAGATGCTCCGAGACAGGATTGCGTCGAGGCACAGATCTGGGGAAGGGTACCAAAAAATGTATGCAGCATTGAAGGTTCACAAGAACACAGTGGCCTCTATCATTCTTAAATGGAAGAAGTGTGGAACCACCAAGACTCTTCCTAGAGCTGGCCGCCCAGCCAAACTGAGCAATCGGGGAAGAAGGGCCTTGGTCAGGGAGGTGACCAAGAACCCGATGGTCACTCTGACAGAGCTCCAGAGTTCCTCTGTGGAGATGGGAGAACCTTCCAGAAGGACAACCATCTCTGCAGCACTCCACCAATCAGGCCTTTATGGTAGAGTGGCCAGACGGAAGCTACTCCTCAGTAAAAGGCACATGACAGCTTGCTTGGAGTTTGCCAAAAGGCACCTAAAGGACTCTCACCTAAAGATTCTCTGGTCTGATGAAACCAAGATTTAACTCTTTGGCCGGAATGCCAAGCGTCACATCTGGAGGAAACCTGGCACCATCCCTACGGTGAAGCATGGTGGTGGCAGCATCATGCTGTGGGGATGTTCTTCCGTGACAGGGACTGGGAGACTAGTCAGGATCAAGGGAAAGATGAACGGAGCAAAGTAGAGCGCAATCCTTGATGAAAACCTGCTCCAGAGCGCTCAGGACCTCAGACTGGGGCAAAGGTTCACCTTACAACAGGACAAAGACCCTAAGCACACAGCCAAGACAAAGCAGGAGTGGCTTCGGGACAAGTCTCTGAATGTCCTTGAGTGGCCCAGCCAGAGCCCAGACTTGAACCCCATCGAACATCTCTGGAGAGACCTGAAAATAACTGTGCAGCGAAGCTCCCCATCCAATTTGACAGAGCTTGAGAGGATCTGCAGAGAAGAATGGGAGAAACTCCCCAAATACAGATGTGCTAAGCTTGTAGATGGGATATTTTATTTTTAATACATTTGCAAAAATGTCTTAACCTGTTTTTGCTTTGTCATTATGGGGTATTGTGTGTAGATTGATAAAAAATATATATACAGTTAGGGGAAAAAAGTATTTGATCCCCTGCTGATTTTGTACGTTTGCCCACTGACAAAGAAATGATCAGTTTATAATTTTAATGGTAGGTTTATATGAACAGTGAGAGACAGAATGACAACAACAAAAATCCAGAAAAACGCATGTAAAAAATGTTATAAATTGATTTGCATTTTAATGAGGGAAATAAGTATTTGACCCCTCTGCAAAACATGACTTAGTACTTGGTGGCAAAACCCTTGTTGGCAATCACAGAGGTCAGACGTTTCTTGTAGTTGGCCACCAGGTTTGCACACATCTCAGGAGGGATTTTGTTCCACTCTTCTTTGCAGATCTTCTCCAAGTCATTAAGGTTTCGAGGCTGACGTTTGGCAACTCTAACCTTCAGCTCCCTCCACAGATTTTCTGTGGGATTAAGGTCTGGAGACTGGCTAGGCCACTCCAGGACCTTAATGTGCTTCTTCTTGAGCCACTCCTTTGTTGCTTTGGCCGTGTGTTTTGGGTCATTGTCATGCTGGAATACCCATCCACGACCCATTTTCAATGCCCTGGCTGAGGGAAGGAGGTTCTCACCCAAGATTTGACGGTACATGGCCCCGTCCATCGTCCCTTTGATGCGGTGAAGTTGTCCTGTCCCCTTAGCAGAAAAACACCCCCAAAGCATAATGTTTCCACCTCCATGTTTGACGGTGGGGATGGTGTTCTTGGGGTCATAGGCAGCATTCCTCCTCCTCCAAACACGGCGAGTTGAGTTGATACCAAAGAGCTCCATTTTGGTCTCATCTGACCACAACACTTTCACCCAGTTCTCCTCTGAATCATTCAGATGTTCATTGGCAAACTTCAGACGGGCATGTATATGTGCTTTCTTGAGCAGGGGGACCTTGCGGGCGCTGCAGGATTTCAGTCCTTCACGGCGTAGTGTGTTACCAATTGTTTTCTTGGTGACTATGGTCTCAGCTGCCTTGAGATCATTGACAAGATCCTCCCGTGTAGTTCTGGGCTAATTCCTCACCGTTCTCATTATCATTGCAACTCCACGAGGTGAGATCTTGCATGGAGCCCCAGGCCGAGGGAGATTGACAGTTCTTTTGTGTTTCTTCCATTTGCGAATAATCGCACCAACTGTTGTCACCTTCTCACCAAGCTGCTTGGCGATGGTCTTGTAGCCCATTCCAGCCTTGTGTAGGTCTACAATCTTGTCCCTGACATCCTTGGAGAGCTCTTTGGTCTTGGCCATGGTGGAGAGTTTGGAATCTGATTGATTGATTGCTTCTGTGGACAGGTTTCTTTTATACAGGTAACAAGCTGAGATTAGGAGCACTCCCATTAAGAGTGTGCTCCTAATCTCAGCTCGTTACCTGTATAAAGGTCACCTGGGAGCCAGAAATCTTTCTGATTGAGAGGGGGTCAAATACTTATTTCCCTCATTAAAATGCAAATCAATTTATAACATTTTTGACATGCGTTTTTCTGGATTTTATTTGTTGTTATTCTGTCTCTCACTGTTGAAATAAACCTACCATTAAAATTATAGACTGATCATTTCTTCGTCAGTGGGCAAACGTACAAAATCAGCAGGCGATCAAATACTTTTTTCCCTCACTGTATGTGAATATATATATATATATATATATATATATATATATATATATATATATATATATATATATATATATATATATATATCATTTTTAGAATAAAGCCGTAACGTAACAAAATGTGGAAAAAGTAAAGGGGCCTGAATACTTTCCGAATGCACTGTATTCATGGATGGATTCTCCCTTTCTTGAAATAATCATTGATCTAAATAAATACAGTGGGCTCCAAAAGTATTGGGACAGTGACACATTTGTTGTTGTTTTGGCTATGTACTTCAGGGCTTTGGATTTGAAGTGATATGATGGCTATGAGGTTAAAGTGCAGACTGTCAGCTTTATTTTAGGGGTATTTCATCCATATCGGGTGAACTGTTTAGAAATTACAGCACTTTTTGTACATAGTCCCCCCATTTTAGGGAACCAAAAGTATTGGGACAAATTCACTTATGTGTATTACATTTGTCCAAAGTTTAGTATTTGGTCCCATATTCATAGCACACAATGACTACATCAAGCTTGTGACTACAAACTTGTTGGATGCATTTGCTGTTTGTTTTGGTTGCGTTTCAGATTATTTTGTGCCTAATAGAAATGAATGGTAAATAATGTATTGTCATTTTGGAGTCACTTTTATTGTAAATAAGAATATAATGTTTCTAAACACTTCTACATTAATGTGGATGCTACAATGATTAAGGATAATCCTGAATGAATCGTGAATAATGATGAATGAGAAAGTTAAAGGAATAAATATCATACCCCCCAAGAAAATGCTAACCTTCCCTGTTATTGTAATGGTGAGAAGTTAGCGTGTCTTGGGGGCATGATATGTGTCTAACTTTCTCACTCATCATTATTCACGATTCATTCAGGATTATCCATAATCATGGTAGCATCCACATTATTGTAGAAGTGTTTAGAAACAGTCTGCACTTTAACCTCAGTCATTGTATCATTTCAAATCCAAAGTGCTGGAGTATATAGCCCTTATTTCTTTACTCCTCTTTTTCATTTCCTGTTTCTCTCTCTCTCTCAGGCGATAGCTGACATGGTAACAGAGGAGCACCTGGCTGAGGGAAGACTCTACCCTCCACTCAACAGCATCAGAGAGGTGTCCTTTAAGATCGCTGTCAAGGTTAGAGACTGACACCACCCCACAAACCATCAATACCAGTATTACATTCCCACATCCACACAGATTTGTTACTGCAGAGAAAGACACTTTCTCCATGTCAATACATCAGCGCTCTGTGTAACTAATTTATCTTTCTCTCTACCCATCTCTCAGGTGGTGGACTATGCGTACAGACACAACATCGCCTCCCTGTACCCGGAGCCCAAGGACAAGGAGGCGTTTGTGCTCTCCCATGTCTACAGCCCCAACTACGACTCCTTCGTCCAGGACACCTACGACTGGCCCCAGGACGCCATGAAAGTCCAGGACGTGTGAACTCCATCTCCTATCAGCCATCTCTCTTTCTATCCCCAACGTTCAATCCCTCTCAGTACAGCACAAGGGAGCTACACATATCAGACATGTGCAGCTGCCCTCCTCTCCAGATTTCGCATTATTTCAACAATCATCACTCAACGGTTGCGTTCCCCTGCTCAGACGTTGCATGCATCAACCAATGGTTGCGTTCCACGTCATCAACTGTGCCTTTGGGCACCAGATTGCTATAACATGTGGTTAACTCATACATAAAATACCTATCCAGCCGTTGTAAGATCTGGCATGTGTCAGCAACGCCTGGGCAGAGGAACGCGCCCAATGCCTTCTGCAGTTAGGTCATCAAGACGAGACGCCTTTAGACACTCCCCAGTGCCCAACGAAATGTAATACATAGGATGTACATCTGTAGATGACAAATGGTTAGCCAGCAAAAATATTATTTTTAAGGGGTATTTTTGAAGGCTCAGTCATTTGATGTCTCCCTTGACTTTTGTAATTGCTTTGTTTACCATATATATCTACAACAGTGTATCCATACAATCGAATTGCCAGGTTAGTGCCACAACGTTTCATGTATAACTTGAGGGAACCCTATCTGTTCTATACATTCTATTTCTATGTTTCTATATTCCATTACCTTGGAATAATTTATCTGTGATTGATACAGAATCTGGAGACAGACTGTAGACAGCACCATGTTATCCTATCACCAAACCCCTAATAACACACTCCGTTGAGCATGTGTGGACTAGCTTTAATAACTAATAGGCTAACATTGGGAAGAAATTGCATATTACGAAAGGTCTCTGTCATCTATTGTAGGGTGTATCTCAATAGTCTTACCTCGCTTCCTTCGCTTGGAAAAGTGGACAGGTGAATCCCATTAGTCATGCACCATATCACCTTTACCTGTCCATTTTTTAAAAATTAGTCTAGATAAAAGAGAGGAGACAAGAATAGGAGGAGACCCCCAGTTTTAGACTATTAAGATGGACCTCTTGTCCGGACATAAACACACAAACCCTCATAGTGCCTGCTTCTGTTTGACCTCCTGACCTCACAATGTAATATCCTGCAGATTATAGTCTTTAGTTGGAGGATTCTATCAGATAGTAGCAAAGAATTATATGTACAAGCCAGTTCACACGGCAGTACCTGCTGTATCATTGATTTTAAAGCATAACTCCAATATATAATTAATTGACAACTTCTTGCTCCCTGTTATCACTTCATACTTTAGGCTACACTCCTGCCAAAGCCTGGGTTAGAAGAAGGCCAGATAGTCAACCTATAGAATTTAAAATAGAACACTCCCTGTTCATCTTGTATTTTTCCTCTAGACTTTGTCACAGATTCTCTGTTGATGCGTGTCAGAGTTTTAATGAGATGCCTAGCTACATGTTTTTATCACTACCAGCAGGAACTGACTTTTACACTCTTATCCAGAGCAACTTACAGTAGTGAGTGCATACATTTCATACTTTTTTATTTATTTCTCCGTACTCGTCCCCTGTGGGAATTGAACCCACGACCCTGGCATTGCGAGCGCCATGCTCTACCAACTGAGCCACAAGGGACTTCAGGTTTGTGAGGTGCCCAATGTTTGTGTACAGAGGAAGCTTTAACAAGCACTAATGTACCGCTAGCCCATTCATAGACGCTAACTACCTTTAGTGTCTATTCATGAAGGTAACTTCTGGCTGGGGGAGTTTTGTTAAGAGCCCCGACGCTTGTTCTGAACGTTAACACGCATCGCTTATGGTATGATTTTGGGAACATAAGGAAAGTAGCTTTCATATCAGCAATAATTTTTCTGAAAACCAAACTTTAAATTACTACACACCTTTTCTTGGGTTAGTGTTCCCACAGGGCCATATCTCCATGTTACAGCGCTTGTTTACAGAAGACCGAGGTGACCACCTGTGCTTATTAGCAATCTATCGTGCTCGAACACCTGTGTAAGCATAACTGAAGAGGAAGTGTAGCGGAAGTGTAGTTTGTCGGCTGGAGGCATACAGCTGTATGGATGTCTGCAAACCTGCTACAGTAAGTTAATCTTTTTTATTTGAAAGATTCTTTCTCGCTGATATGAAAGATAAGTTCCATATGTTTCAAAAACCGTATCACAACGATGATTATTGACGTTTCTAAACGTTAAAACAGAGCATTGATTATAGTTCACATGGTCTCACCGGTAAGCAGTGCTTATAGCTGAGAACCCTTGGGAGAAGGCAGAATGCCTTGTTAATGCCTTGGGTTCTCGAGAGCAAGTGTAGCGCCATAATGATTACATATGTGATTGACCCTTTGGGTATGCTTTTTTAAATAATGGAGGGGGTTGCATCTTTTTTTTTTTTTTTTTTTTTGTATAAAGCGTTGCCTGTTTCGGTTTCGGTGTTTTTGCCAAAGGTAATGACAGACATGGTAAATCTTATCTTTCCTTTTTCTCCAGAGAATATTATGCTCTGCTTAGGTGTGATGCACCACAGAAGGAATTCTATTTTGGGTTTTCAAGGAAGAATGTATGTTTTTGAAGGGAATAAAAAAGACTAAGTGAATATTGTTAACAAAACTATTGAGTGTTTTATTGATGATTAACACTGATTTAGCTGACTCATTGTCGTGTGTGTGTCGTGTGATGGAGGGGGATAGGAAGCTGGTGACGTCTACACCATGAGGCGGGAGCTGCTGATGTAGCGTGTCTCCTTCCACATGTTGGTTTCTCCACTGTAGCTGGAACGTCTCTTAAACTGCAGACAGCGCTGCAGCCCCGAGCACTGGTCTATCAGCAGGCAACAGCCAGCCCTGAAACAAGAGGAACAACACTTTATATAGGCCTTATTCACTGAGAGACAGGAACAGGAAATAGAAGGGCAACACTTTACATTACATAGGCCATATTATTCCAGGATCACTTGAATAACCACGGCTAAGGGCTGTTCTTATGCACGACGCAACACAGAGTGCCTGGATATAGCCCTTAGCCGTGGTATATTGGCGATATACCACAAACCCCCAAGGTGCTTTATTGCTATTATTAACTGGTTACCAACGTAATTAGAGCAGTAAAAATAAATGTTTTGTCATACCCATGGTAAATCACTGCTGTCAGCCAATCAGCATTCAGGGCTTGAACCACCCAGTTTATAATACACATTATATTGCATATATGGATTATAAGGACTGCGCAATATAATGTGTGTATCATCCTAGGGGAGGGAAACAATCATTGGTGCTGCTCTCCATCAATCATAACCATTCTTTAGTACATTGCTATGTCATTAATCTTCAAACCCAGAACCAGATCTTGCGTGTGCTGGCCATCTACTCGATTTGGTTCTGGGTTCTGATGTACACAGGTACGTTCTGCTGAGCATGGTGCTTGCACAGGAAACACGACTCCTACAGGACACACAACAGCAGTAATGTAACAAGCTTTCCCAGGGATCAGTAACGTATTTCGGTAACAGCTGTGCCAGATTACTCTCTCACTCTTCTAGCTCACCTGTTGGACACTGTGGTCCTCGCAGAGTTGATGTCCCTCTACCTGCTCCTCTCTCTCATCCACATATTTTCTCAGAGTGCCCTCTAGTGGTGGTAGGAACACTGTCGACCTAGAACAGGTAGTATGTTTATTTTACGCACTTTGTTTAGTTCCAATGGTCACATTAGGCCAGTGTTTCCCCAACTCCAGTCCTCGAGTAGCCCCAACAGCACACATTTTTGTTGTAGACCCAGACAAACATACCTGATCCAACTTGTCAACAAATCATCAACAAAAATGTGTGCTGTTGGGGGTACTCGAGGACAATTCTGATCTTTTACCACTAATTGGTCTTTTGACTAATTAAATCAGATTTTTGGCTAATAATTGGGCAAAAGATCAGAATTGGGCTGCCATAGTGCCAGGAGTTTTTCCTGATCAGGTCACGTGAGCACCTGTCCACAGGTATGGTTGGGGTCGAGATCTCCAGCTCCGCTATGAGGCAGATTCCACTGACTTTGGCCGGCTGGAGGGTCTGGCGGGTGTTGAGACGCCGAGAATTCTGGGTATCTGTGGCACAGGTGGAGGATGCATAATGCATTATGAAATACAGTTCAACAGTCAGTACTACATAATATAGACCACAGTGAAGGCTGCTGAGGGGATGACGGCTCTAATAATGGCTGGAACGGAGCAAATGGAATGGCATTAAACACATGGAAACCATGTGTTTGATGTATTTGATACCGTTACACTAATTCCATTCCAGCCATTACCACGAGCCCGTCCTCCCCAAATAAGGTGCCACCAACCTCCTTTGAATGACCAGGGATGGGCAACTTCAATGGGGGTTGGGGCCACAAAAAATCTGAACTCATCATGAGGGACCACAGTGGCTTGTGGGTCTGCATACCCAAATCCATACCCACCTTGCAAACAAAACATTTTAGCGGCCCCCCTCTTGACAGCGTTTATTTTTTATTTTTAGTTCATTTCCTGCAATTCTACACATTTTGCCATGGGGCAGAGAGAAGATTTTGCAATTTTATAACTAATTTCATGCAATTCTATTCATTTTGATATGGGGCGGAGAGAAAAATGTGCAGTTTCACTGAAATGTTAGCTGTTTTTAATATGTTATCTGAGTAGAGAGTGACTAACAAAATCAATGGGGGCCCACGGTCAGCAATTCGACCATAATTACCACAAGTTTAGATAGCTGGCTAGACTAATTTACCAATCTAAAAATGTTTAGCTGACATGGGCTAGTTGAGTGATTGTCAGTGACTGACATAACAAGACAACTGCTGATGCACAACCAAATGTTGAAATTGCACCCTGTGTATTTTCTACTATTCTCAACATTAAGTTGACTGAGCTCAAAAAAATAAAAAATAAAGAACAAAAAAAGATCAGCGGGCCTATGGGCCGCCAGTTGCCCATCCCTGATATAGACTGTACAATGTAGAAAAGCACAACTTTTACTAAAGTGGGACCCACTTGGTCATCG